AGTCCTTAGGTTTGTCGCATTGGCCTAGTAGATAGCTAGTACTATTACAATTAAAGCACTTCAATCCGGTTAGTAGACTACCGTAGCTGTTGTTGCTATTATTAGCCGAGCGGTTAGTATTGTAGGGATACGAGCCCCTTCTACGGCCCCTATCGCGGCCTCCTCTATATAGCCGCCGGCTACGGCCTCTTCTACGATCGTTACTGTTCCTATTGTTAGCATTGTTGTCCTAGTAGGAACCTTAGTTTCCTCCGCGGCTACTACGGTTGCTACGGTTAGTACTAGCTAGTCGGATCCTTAATTCTAGTCGTTACTAAAGCTAAACAGCTCGTTTAGCTATTTCCACTTCAACTATAAATTGAATACGTATTAGATTAGCCTATTCGAACACGCGACGGCGGTCTAATTCGAGAATAAGTTCCTACCTAAGCTTAGGGCGTATTTCCGAGATCTATATAGAATTAGTCTTAGGCGGAAGGTCGTCTTTAAGGGTTTTTAAATAGGCTTTAAATAAGCGAGCCGATTGATTAGTCTTCTATTTAGCTCGAAGATACAGGTCCTAAGCATATTGTTGCCTTAGTATAGGGTTTCTAAGGGTGTCTAGTATAATAGTTTTGTAGGTCTGCTACTAAACAGCGGTCTAATTGTTAAGGGAGTCAAAATAGTTATCCTATATACGCTTTAGGTCGCTATTGATATACTATATAGCGTATACGACTAAGGAATAGTCGTCTAGTAGCGCTCTTAGTGCGTTACGCTAGTTAAGTTTATAGTTACGAATATAGTCGTTATACTGCTTCCGACTAGAACTATTAAATACGGTGCAGTCCTTAGGTTTAGCATCCTTCTTTTAGATAGGTAGTAAAGAAGGTCCTACTATTAGCTTAGTAGTAGTTATTAGGGATTCCTAGAGGCGGCGAATCTCGAGAAGATTATCCTTTAGCTGTTGTTCTTAACGCAAGGTAGTAAGCCTATTTTAGGTAGCTTCTTAAAGTCTCGCTACTAGTTAGGGACTAAAGGCTAGCTAGCTATATCGTCGATTAACAATTTTGCCGAGAATGTCGTTAACGGGCAACGATAGGTTATCCCCTTCGATTATAGGTTCTTTAGTAGGCCCTCTAGTAGGCTCTTTAGTAGGTACCTTAGTAGGAGGCACTTTAGTAGGCGCTTTAGTAGGCACTGTGCTACTAGCGTTGTCGTTGCTAGCGCTACTAGCGGCAGCACGGTTGTTGTTTCGTAATAAGCTAGCTATTATAAGGGGTAACACTAATAATATATTGTTAGTCCCTAAGATACGGATATAGCGGAATTAGTAGATATCGGTCTAGTATACTTAACTTAGTATAATAGGCCGTATAGAAGGCCTTGCTTGATAATTAGTACGGTTGTTTCGATAGAATAGTACGTATAGGTCCCGTTCTTCGGGCGTAATATAGTTAGATTAGTCTTGTTCGTAGCTATACCGCTAAAAGCTTGAAATAAGGACTATCTAGCTACTGCCCTTAAAGGGTAGATCGAATACTATATAAGAAGGGTATATTAGTAGGTAGATAGGGTAGTAGTAGGTACGAGTAGTATTCGATAAGGAGCTAGGAGGAGAGGGAGGAAGGTAGGCAAGTTAGCCTATTACTAAGCGCCAAGCCCTACCTAAGGCACTAAGACCCTAGCTTTACTTAGCCTAGTTACATGCCAATTACGTATAGCCTCTTTAGCCCTAATATAACTATAATAGCTATTCGCTATAGGTAGGCTTTACTTAACTAGTTAAAGTCCTATACTAATTACTCTTTCTAACATCTTACTAGTTAGATATACGCGATATTAAGTATGCGACTAGTCTAGCTATTAGTCTATTACTCCGACTAAATATATAGCTTAGGTTACGTTAGTAATATAGATTACTAAGCCTTCTATAAACGATATATAGTACTATTACTAGATTATAACGTATACGCTTAGGTAACTCGATCGACTTAGTATCTAGTAACTCGGCTAATTCGATTACTTATTACTTACTAAAGCGGAAGTTACCCTTAAAGTTAGCGTTAGGGTATGTTTCTAGTAACTACTACTTGTCTCTTAGATACTTACGTAGCTCTTTATATAGTCTATTATTGCGAGCCTATCTATACTAGTATTCGCGCTTACTCTCGCTCTCCTAGCGAATAGCTAGATCTAGTAGATTATCGGCCTTAGAAGCTAAAATAGCTATAATTATTACTAGTATTCTACTATAGATAGCGATAATATTCTTATTAGTTAAGAAGCCGTTAGAGTCGTATTCTTCTATAGTATAGTATAGAAATTAATATCTAATCTATAATACTAATTATAGTAAGGTCTACGACCCTAGCTGCCTCTTAGTACTAAGATTGATTACTAAGCAGCCTACTAAGAAACGCTACCAAATTGCCTACGTAAGCTCTTATAAGCCGTTATTTTAGTCATTCACTTCCCGCCGCTAAAACAGCGCTATTCGCGGCTTCTTATATATAGCAAACGGCTAGAAACCTACTGCGCAAGGTGCCTACTAATGCATTGACAAGCTTGCACTGTCACACTTGAGCAAGGAACGAACCATGATCAGCAATCCCCCTCACGTAGCAACAAAGTTCCCGTCATTCCAGAACACGACCACATGCGAGTCCTTGCTTGCCTTGCCAAGTCTTCCGCGGATATTTCTGATGAATTTCGGAGTTGTGAACATCTGTTGAGGTCATACAGCACGTTCATCATGGAAAGGACGTCTGTTCGAAGTAGCTCCATTGCGATGATTGTGTTGCGATACAATGGAATGGATCGATGCGAGACACTTGGCGCACGCTCGGCCCAACGTTCGGACAGCGAGGCTGCGTGACGACTGGCTGGGTGCAGCCTTCCACGACTGTGTTTATTGTGTCATACACCAAGGTAGATGTGGTCATCATAGTTCGTGCCGCTGCGAACATGGTATCAGAACCAGTGATAGCAAAAGATTTTACTGTAGATTTTGTAGTCATGGAAACGTTCAACCTGATACCAGATCATGAGCTCAAGTGAGCAATTTCTTCCTCCCATCTGGATATCCCATCCCTCCCTTTCCATGTTGACAACGAAAACATTTCGGAAGTTCGTGGCAGGACCAGCGGGTCTGTACGAGTGGTCATACTCGTGGACAGTTGAGGCCACCAGTGATTGGCTTGATGTCAGAGTTAATGAGATTGGTTATTGGAGTCACCTGCTGAATTGGGAGGTTTGCGAGGCGTGGAATGAAGGACTGTACGAGTCCAGCCACGAAGCAGGCACCTTGACCATTTGGGTTCGCGAGATGGGTGGGGCTCCATGCGCTACCAGTGAAGTCGCTGAGAGAAATGCCAAAGTACGTGTTGACACCATTAGTGTGACCTCCAGACGGAAAGTGTCCGGAAGGCGAGGAACTCGGCACTCAGCAAGGTCCATAAAGACATTGACGGTGTTGTACCTACGTCTGAAATGCGCTCCTGACCCAGAAGCCACTTGAAGTTGGCTGAGCTATCGCCACCAACGGCGAAGAATTGCTTTAACATGTTGCCATCGAAGTATCCATTTGCCTCCTCGGCAGAGTGGTTGCTCATGAAGAGATGACGAAGTTGTATGCAGCGGGGGAAACGAGCGTGGTCGAGAACGGTCCAGTGAAGTAGTATGGGATTGTCCTCGATCGACTGCTGAGCCTGCCTGATGTGGTGCTCCAAACACTAGAGTCTCGCAAGCTGGAAGCCTGATACGACCAGATCATTCGGCATCTGCATGTTGACGCGAACCATATGCCAGTACCAACGAGCTCAGGTCGACTTGGTACATGATGCCATCAGACTGCTTCTACTGGACTGGACACTCTCACTGTTCGTGTCGAAATCATACTTGAATCTACCGACATGGACGCGCAGATTTTGGAGCACGCGGCCTCATCGAGCTTTCAGGACCAAGCCGAGGCCTTCTGGCCCACTTGGCCGCCATTGTTCGAAGAGAACATCATCTCGAATTCAACAAATCACCACTATCGAGCAACGTGCTAAGTCCCACGCCAATAGTACGCGGCAGCTGCACTGGTAAGTCGAGCTCGGAGGGATCTCCAGATGCCAGCACGCAGAATTCAGGGACGGCCCTGTCGTCGCATTGTTTGGTAACAACTCCGAGTACGCCATTGGAGATATCCTCTTTGGTGCTGTTCCAAATTCAGTGCGAAGTGCTGGTGCTGTAGCTCCCTAGGCATCTGTAAGCCAGACTATGCAAGTATAGTCACCAGTGCGTGATGGTGGGCGATATCCCAGATTGCTGGCATATTGGAAAGAAGCCTCCCACCTGTTCTCGCTATCACGGTGGAAGTGTGTCCGGTTTCTCAATGAGGCCCACTCGGTCCCTTGCGTCTCATACAGCCTAGCTTTTGATTTCACGTCCTTGTCCAGCGCTGAGAGGCTTGCGCCCATTATGCGAGCGAGAGCAGCAGATTCCGCGCTGCATTGTCCTAGCCACACTGCATCCAGCATTCGAAGGCTGCAATTCCGTCTGCTCATCTTGTGCCCGCCTTGCAGGAGTTCCAATGCAACTCAGGGATAAACAGGTGCTTCGAGTGTTGACTACAATGGATCGTATTGCAGCGGGAATTGGTCGATATGCGCGAGGATTTCGAAAAGCATATCAAGACACGGTCCTTCTGCAACTTGGTCACGTCTCTGCGTGCATGAGGAGTTCCTTAGCAGTGCCGATGGTGTTGACATTTGCCCTGGCTGTCAATGGACATGTAGTTACTGTAGAACGAAAGGGATGGTTTCAGTGCCAAGGAGATATTATGCTGCCGGCAACAGCCGAGGATGTGATTGTGTCGAACTACACCTCATCCCAACTACGCGGATGAGTTGTATGTGCTCCTTCATGCACCAGAATTCCTGCTATACCCCCCAAACTCAGACAAGAGTTTCCTATTCCGTATGTTCACATTTTTTTTGAAGCTTGGAATTTTACGAATAGGCGAATAGATAGATGGCTTCCAATCCACTTTATATAATTTGATCCACTATACAAGCGTAAAAAGACATCCGCTATGCAAATCATCAATCTATCAGTCAGTCCCCAGGGATATCTGTGCAGTGTGTCCATACATGTACTTTATCATCAACAACAACAACAATCAAAAACATCACCACAAAGACCCATCTAAAAATGAGGAGTATTAAGTAAAAGTCCCATCAAACAGCCACCAATAAGCCCAGCAATCGGGATAGTCATGACCCAAGAGAAGAACAAAAGTCCCACTCGTTGCCAATTGACAGCCTTGAAAGTTCCGTTGCAGAGACCGACGCCGACCGTCGCACCGGTAATGCACATGGATGTCGAGACGGGGAGTTTGTATTGCGAGAAGACGAGAATGGTGATGGCGGCGCCCATTTCCATGGAGGAACCGCGGGATGGGGAGTGGTAGGTGATTTTGTTGCCCATGACTAAGATTTCGCGTCAGTAGTTGTCAGGATTTAATGAGTGGAGGGGGTGGAAAATCGGACTTACCCTTCATGATGTTGTAGCCGTAGGTGATGAAACCGAAGCAGATGGTCAAAGCGACGACGGCGATTTGCCAGAGTGGGACTTCAGTCTTGGCGGCGGTGGCAGTCGAGGTGGACCAGGCGGAGTACATGACGGCCCAGACACCGACAGCATTACCAACGTCGTTGGCACCGTGGGCAAAAGAAGCCGTGCAGGCTGTGATGATCTGGACGAAAGAGTAGAGGTACTCGACCTCGTTGGGGTATTTTGGGGCGTGGGCGTAGACGCGGTCCATGCGGCGGCCTTCTGGAGTACCAGAAACACCGACCTGAGCCTTGTGGATGTCGTAGTAGATACCGTAGGTCAGGGCAATGACTGGGTAGGCTGGAAGACGGCGGAGCAGGGCCATAACATTGTGCCGCTCGTAAATCGATCCGGCCCCCAGTGGGTTGTTGTGGACGACACGCATAGCCCAGGCGAGAGGACCCGTGCCTGCACGGAGATCTGCGTGGTGCTTTTGCTGGGCGCGGTGGAGAAGGAGCTTGTATGCGGCGTTCGGGTTCTCGCGCTGGAGACGAGCCATCTCTGGGTCGGTTTCAGAAGAGGAGTATTGCTTCACAGGGGTGGCCTGAATCTCCTGGCTGTTCCAGTCGGTCGTCTTGGTGAGCTCAGTCTCGGTGGTGCGCTTCTCGTCGTGCTGCGACTCGGCATCATCGTCACCGTCGTGCTGGAGAACAGCGTAATTTGGAACCTTGGCTTGCGCTGCCACATTTGGAGTCTGGCGATTGAAGAGGAGAGGGCCCTTGATGACCTCCCAGAGCTGGAGATCGGCGTCTCTCTTGATGACCTTGCAGTAGACGTAGGGCACGAAGAACAGTGCGGCGAGAAGGGCCAGACCCACGCCGGTTCCGACGGAAACACTGGCAATGAACCAGGCTGGCTTCTTGGCGAGTCCGAGCTTCGGGGAACCCTTGTAGACGATAGAAAGGGCGCAGACGGTACCGGCGATCAGGAAGAAGAAGGGTGAAGACCATACAGCCCACGGGACGGGTTCGATGCGCATGTGTACAACGACCTTGATCAGCATGAAGATGATGGAGGCGAAACAGGCAGAGATTGCAGGAGCCATGGCGAGACCAGCAAAGATGGCACCAAGGCCAGAGCCCTTGTTCCATCCCCATTGAACACCGCTCGCACCGACCGTGGCGACGCCGACACCCGCGATGGAGGAAACGAGCGAGTAGGTGGAAGAGACGTGAGCGTTGTGTCGTGTGCACCACATGACCTGTGAACGAAGGTTGGGTCAGCGGTTGCGCAAAGGGCTTCCTTCGCTGATTGTCTGTCCATACCCAGGTGGCTGCACCAGCGGCTGCGCAAGTGAATGCCAATAGCTGGACACCCGCATTGTCTTCGAAAGCAGAAATGGGAATGATTCCGTTCTTGATTGTCGAGGCCGTTCGAGCACCGACGGCCAGAGCACCGGTCAATTCGAAGACCAGACACAGGATCATGGCCTGGCGGTATGTGACTGAGCGGGAAGAAACACTGGTGGCCCAGGCGTTTGCAACATCGTTTGCACCGTTGTTGTAGGCTTCCATCAGCGCGAAGAAAGTGCCGATGGCGAAGACATAGGTATACGCGTCCAGAACCATTTTGAGGGATTGTTCAAAGGAAGTGGTAATGGAGAAGATGAGGGCCTCGTTGGCGTCTGGATATATAGCCCTGGCGAAGAGCGGAATTTGCAGACGCCAGCCGTCTGGCTGTTCGCACGTGTATGCAGCATGGCAGTGCCCAGGCTGGTGAGGCTGCGAGGGGCTCAGGCTAAGGTGAAGAAGGCCAGTGCCAGGCGCAGGGAGCGAGCATCAATATCATCAAGTGAAGTCGAGACATGGCAGCACGTGGGAAGATCAAGGGCTCGCGCTGAACGGTCGGTGCTGCAGGCCAAGGCGGTGCGAGGGAAGCACGAGAAATACCAAGTCGCTAGGCGTGGTGAGCTGCCTCGATACTAAACCGAGCCCCAGCTAGCCGCCCGAGCCCCAGCATATCCCGAGATTACGAGATCGGCTGTTACTAACAAAATCGCGTGTAGAAGCGGATAATCGCGTCGATGCAGGCCCCGCTAGCCGGGCAACTACTGCAATACTGCTGCTAGCTAGCTATAAAGCTAAAGTTTGTTAGCAAATTAGTAGTATAGCAAAATTAAAGGTATTATTAGTTGTTAGGTTGTTAGCTATCTACTTAGGTCTAATCGGATTGCGACCTGCCGCCTTATAACTACGCGAGGCTATATATACTAGCTTATACTAGTCTCTTAGTTGCTAACTAGTATACTACTATTACTAAGTAAACTAATAGTACTAAGTAAACTAATAGTGCTATTACTATAGCACCTAGTAATAAAGCGGCCTTCCGGCTAGCTATATAAGCGACTACTAGTACTATTACTAAGTAGCCTATCGTTATTATTGCTTATAGAATACTGCCTACTAGCGGCTATATTTAGCTTGTTATCTCGCTCTATATTCTTCTACCTATAATCGTTGTTACTTACGTCTACGTAGGTCCTTAAGCTCTCGGCGGAGCTAATCTAGCTTAGAAGGAGGCTCCGGCGCTACTAGAAGTAAAGACTTAGCTCGTAGATTATAGCACTCGAAGCCGCTTAGATAGCAGGTAGAGCTATACAGACGGTTAGCCTTCTAGTAGGGGCATTGTTAAGTACGATACTAGCTCTTAACGCACTTGCAGTACTTAGCAATAGTCGTACGAAGCTAAGTAAGCGATACGCCTAGCTCTAGTACGAAGTCTACTATTCTAGCGGTTATTGTCTTCTACTTCTTAGTAACGGTAGTAGTGTTTAAATCGTCTAGTTCTCGAGCTATTTATATACGCTTCGTACTATACAAAGTGGCTCCGCTAGTTATAGGTTTACGGTTGCCGAAGATTACTTCCGGCTCTCGTAGATAGAGCGTTTTACGCTAGAAGTTAATTAGCTAGTACGAGTAGAAGTAACTCGGCAATAGTATAGCTCGAGAGCTACCTATCTTAAGAAGCCGTATAATATCGTACTTATAAGGATAGCTATAGGTCTTGCTTATATAATTACTATAGGTATAGTAAGGGCAGCTATACGAGTAGGCTAAGTGCTTAATCTCGTTGCCGTTATCGTTAGTTGTAGTACGCAGAAGATCTACTATACGTAGATATAATAGCTTAACTTCTAGTAAGTAGTAATTACTAATTACTCGAGCTACGCTAGACTAGAAGGCTCTAGTTAGTGCCTTATTGCACCTCTTAAGGTTCTTAGCAAGGCGAATACGGCGGCGATCGTAACCCTCGTACTACTAGTTAAGTAGGCTCTTAAAGAGTAAGAAGATATCGTAGCGGCTGCTATAGTTAAGCTATTATTTAATACGTCTATAGGTTAACTTAACTCGCGAAGTCGTCTTATAGCCGAAGTAAAGAACCTCGTTAGTCTAGTAGTAGATAATCCGCGTCTTATATCGCTACTAGTTGTTCTCGAGATAGGCCTTAAATATAGGATACACGTTATATAGCTTGCGGACATTGTCGTTAAACTCCTGCTTAGTTTAACTGCGAATAGTGTATATAAAGAGCTTAAGGAACTTATTAGTTAAAGGGCTATCGATCTAGCCGCTATTATCGCCCTTTACTTGTCTAAATTCGCTACGTTCCTTACGGACTCGAGTTAATATATCTTGCTATAGATGCTAGTTACATACGATATTCTAAGACTCCGGAAATACATTATTAATAGCTAGTATAAGTGCTACTTTACGATTAGTGCTAATAACAAGAGGCATTAGACAACCGGCTTGTTCGAGGCCCTTCTATAGTAAACGTAGCAACCTTATAAAGTCCGCTTAATCTAGCTTCGGACGGACAAGGCTAACACTAAGCTTAATTGTGTCGTTTATAGGGCTAGTAGTAACGATATCTATTAACTCGAGGTTATAGATATTAGTCGAATAAGTAGTGTCTATAATTAGTGTATATAGCGTATTCTTAAACGCTTCTAGAGACCGTAGGTAGAGGGCAATTATGCTACGAATAGCGCTATTCTAAGGATTAGTATTAATCTTATAGAAGATACCGTTCTTATCTAGTAACTCGACCGTTCGCTAAGCCTAGTTTATCTATTAACGAGCATCTATATTGCGAGACTAGCTAATATTATATATGTCCTTTAGTTTAAGGATTATACTACGGTCGCGGAAGTAGGCTATAATCTTCGAGGTTAGTATTCGCGCTTACTAAAGGCCCTCTAATTCCTCGAGGAACGCTACTATTCTTAACTTCCGCTATACTGTCGCTAGAGCGACAATATTATCCTTCTCGTAATAGTAATAACAATAATTATCTTCTAAAGAATACCGGATTACCTACTTACCCTCTAGCTATAATAGATCGATAGTAACGGCGTAGAAATAGAACTTGTAGCCTATCTTCTTCGAAGTCGACTTCCGCTATATTAACTTAGCCTCTTTCTTCTAAGTACGCTTGTCCGGTTAACTATGTTACGGTTACTCGCGACAGATCGTCAAGTGACTTCTTATTACGTGCAAGCCGAGGCTTCTTTAGAGAGGCTAATATAAGCGGGAGGCAGAGACAGAATAATTAGTACAAAGGTAATTCCAATTAGTAAGTAGGTAATATAAGTTGAACGCCTCGAGCTATAAGGGCATTCCGGCGTTCCTAAATACAAAGGAGACATCTTGTCTATAGTCGTGAGCGACGTAAGCGACGCTATCGCTCTCGACCGCTCCTATCGCTCCTAGTAAGATAGAGCGACAGCTTAGCCTACTAGTCTTAGCGTCGCTCTAAGATTATATAAGGACTCTAACTAATCAGATCCGTAACACTATCCCCCTCCTTAAGCGGGATAGTCCCTTATTCCGGAACTTTCTAATTCCAACTTCTTTGCTATACCAAAGTTATTAAAGGACTTGTCTTCTCGTTAGCGTAAGGAAAATATCGCAAATAACATCCTTGCCGACTGCTTCGAAATACCGATCCGCTGCTTTTATTACGAATAGGCCGATAAATCCTACAAAGTCGATCTCCGTTCCGGCCGCTGCTCCGAGTGCGCCCTATACGGCTAGTCCTATAATATACAAGTTACTCGTATAGAGTATGAAAAAATCCGGAAGGCGCGCCTAAAGATAGCTAAAGATCTCGAAGCGGCCGAAGAGGAGGAAGACCTCCTTACGCGGAAGCTTTTCGAGCATTGCGCAAAGGTCCGTCGCTTACGCAAGTCGCTACGTATAAAGGAAGATCGGGAGGTATAAGCTCTTAAGGTAGAGGAAGCCTCTATTTAATAGGCGGAGGAGCTCGAAAGAGAGCTAGGCTCTTCGCCTATAGAGCCGATAATATTCTCGTTGCCTGCTAACGAGCCGTTTCCCCTAGATAGCCGATTATAGATGTCGCCTCATAACTAGAGTCGTCTAGATAGGACGTCCTAGCCTACCTCTGAAATTCCTAGTAGGAGTACCGAGAGTCTAGTGTCTTAAAGGTATGTATTTTCAATGTTTCCTGTCTATTTTATCTTCTAGCTAGTTAGTCTAGTAGTATGATTCTTAGCCACAAAAGACATAGTTACTAGGTACGCTATTAGAGTCCCCGCTCCTCGAGCTATACTAGTTATTTCTTTTTTGTTCGGTTTTGAAATTTTTTGATTATCTGCTAACAGTTCTGTAGGTTTTCTTTTGGTTCCTAGGTGTTTTCTGAATGTAGGTATCCTTTCCATTTAATAAGGTATTTCTGACCTTGCTAATCTAGGATCTTTTCGACTTCAAACTTATTTTCTTCCTTAGGTTAGAAGTGAAATGTTTCTTAACACGGTGTTTCGGCGTCTGTAGGTTCTAGTATAGAGATATAGAATACTAGGTGGATTTTCGCGTCGTCCGGTAGTTTAAGTCGGTAATTAACTGGTCCTTTAGGCTTATCAATCAAAAATAGCCCGACTTTAACGTAGTCTAGTTTCTTAGTCGATCTCCGGGTTTTCAGATTCTTCGTTAGGAGATAGACCTTATCCCCCTTTTTTAGCTAAGGTACCATTTTTCGTTTTGCATTATATAGTCCCGTAATCTTTTCTTAAGACTCGGCAATTGCCCTTTGCAATTCTTTATATACCTGCTTTAAGTCTTCTAAAGCGACTATCGCTTTATCCGCGTATAGATGCTGTAAATACTATTCCCCGAACAGCTGCGGATGTTTCCTAAAATTAGCGAAGAATAGTGTCTCTTTCGTAGTCTTAGATTGTTAGTTATTCAGTGCAAGTTGTACTATAGGCAATAGCGATGCCTAATTGTTTTATACGTAATTGACGTAGTGCCGTAAGTATACCTCTAAGGCCTGATTCTTAACTTCCGTTTAGCCGTCTGTCTATAGATAGTATACCGTTGATAGCTTGTGCTTAATTCCAAGCGTCGCTGTAAGCGTCTTCTAGTAGTTTAACGTAAAGAGCTTGTCTCTATCCGTAATATAGGTCTTTGGAAATCCGTAGTATCGTATAAGTCTATCTAGTACGAGGTATCCGAGTTGCTCTACCGTACTTGCTTCGTTAGCAGGAATAAAGTGTACGTATTTCGTAAGCCTATCGACTATAACAAGTATTATATCGTAGCTATGTCCTGTAACCGGATCCTTAGACTTCGGTAGCTTCGTAATAAAGTCTATTGTAACTTCGTCCTATAGTTTATCTAGTAGCGTCCTAAATTGGATATGTCTATATTTAGCGTGTCTATTAGCCTTATTACGCTGACATTGTAGACATTTCTTAATATATTCTAGAACTCGTTATCGCATGTGTAGGAATCCGAAGCTTCGCTTAACTAGTTCTATTGTTTTTGAAACTCTAGGGTGTCTATTTTCTGGTCCGTCGTAGTGTTGTCGTATACACTCCGTAACTCGTTCCTTAGGTACTTAGTATTTCCTATATTCGATTGGGAACTGTTCTTCTATATCCTAAAGAACTCGTATAATATAGTTGAATTCTTTTGTGTTAGCACTAAGGCTTCCGTCTTAGTTTGCTTTTAATATCTGCTGCTATACTAGTTCGTAACCCTCTATATAGTCGCTACGGCGGCTTAGTGCGTCGGCTCGTCCGTTCTCGCGTCCTAGGGTATAGCGGATTTCGAACTTGTACTACCCTAGTAGTTCCGACTAGCGGGCCTGTCTTCGGGTTAGTACTTTAGTCGTAGTGAAGTAAGTTAGATTCTTATAATCAGAAAGAATCGTAAGACTTAGTGCTCCTTCCGCGTATACTTACTAGTGTTATAGTAATGTAACTATTGTAAGTAGCTCCTTATTATAGATGTCGTAGTTCTATTCCGCGGGTAACATCTTTCTCGAGTAATAGGCTACCGGGTGTCGTTTCCCGTTATGCTCCTATATAAGGCATACTCCTATAGCCCTATCCGACGCGTCTGTTTCTATCTAGACCGCCTTACTCCTATCGAATAATCGTAGCGTTAGCGCAGAAACGCATTGCTTCTTTAGCTGCCTAAACGCTTCGTCTTCCTTCGTGCTCTAGTTCTATTTCTTGTCTTTCTTTATAAGCTCCGTAAGGGGTGCCGCTGTCTTAGAATAGCCCTCGATGAATTTCCTATTATAGTTAGCTAATCCTAGGAATGATTATACGTCTTTAACGCATGTAGGCGTTAGCCATTCCTATATTGACTTGGTTTTTTCTGGATCGATCCTGATTCCTGTAGTACTAATAATAAATCCTAGGAATTTAACTTCCTTCTTATAGAATTCGCATTTCTTAGGTGCAGTCTTAAATCCTACTTGAGTAAATCGTTCAAAGACGTCCTACACTATTCGTATATAGTCCGCGAGAGCTCCTTTAGTATAGACTAAGATATCGTCTATATATGCGATAACGTATATATCTAGAAGGTCTCGGAGGACTTCGTTTATAAGGTCTTAATATAACGCTAGGGCATTTATAAGTCCCATAGGCATAACTAAGAATTCGTAAAGCCTATATCTTGTTCGGAATGCTATTATCTATTCGTATCTAGCTGCTATACGTATTGCGTAAAACGTATCGCGTAGGTTAATCTTCGTATACTAGTCTAATCTAGTTAATCGGTCTTGTATTTCTTCGATGTTCGGTAGTAGGTACCGATTCTTAATTGTGATATCGTTAAGTCGTCTAAAATCGACTACTAGCCGTCCTTCGTCTAATCCGGCTTTCGGAACGAACATTACTAGTAAGGCTGCCGAGGATGTCGACTTCCGTATCTAGCCTTTTTCTAATTTCTCTTTTAGCTACTTGTCTAGGGTTTTAAGCTCTTTCTTAGATATTGCGTATAAGGGTCCCTATAGAGGCTCTTTCCTAGGCTGTAAGTGTATTTTATAATCCTATAGTTGGTGTTTAAATAAGGCTGCCTTGCCTCTCTCCTCTTTAAAGAGTCGCTTCTACTTAGTATACTCTTTAGGAATGTCTAGGTCTGAGATTCTAGCTTCATTCTTCGATAGCGTATAACTTCTATCCTTCCCGTAATTATTATTGTGACCCTCCTAACCTAACGGTAGTATCGATCCGGGTTGAATACGGTTCTCCGTAATTCCTGTCGACGCAAACGTCTTACGAATCGCCCTGCGTTTGTCAATCTTATCTGCCTACGAACGCTGCCGCTATATAGGTTGAATGCCGATTATATAGTCGCATTCCTTAAATATAAGTACTCCTTTTCTCTAGTCTACGACTAGGTTATACTTTCTCAACTAAGGTATACCTAATACAATATTATAACTAGCTATATTAGTAACATCTAAGACAATCTCCTCGTAGTACTGTTAGATAGCTAGTAGTAACGGTATCGTTTCTCGTTCTATACTAGGTAGCGGTAACCTATCTACTGCTATAAGTTTATACGCTCCTTCTCTTCTACTTCGGGTTACGATCCCTCGGCTTTTAACGAATGATTCGGAGGCAAAGTTCCCGCTCGCTCCGGAATCTATTAATATACTCGTCGGGTGCCCGTTAACGATAACTTTTGTGCGGAAGACTGCTATTAATGCTTGAGCGCTTTCGGTATTAAGGAACTCTCTTAGAACGCTCTAATCTAGAGAGTTAGTCCGTTTCCCGACTGATTAGTAGCCTAACGTTATTCTAACTAGTTACGGATCCGTAGTCCTACCGTTCGTGCTTCTTCGGCATATAATTTTTCCTCGAGGGTATCGTTATATACATCTTATCCCTACGCTACTATAGCCTTTCAGTATTGCTAATTTAATCGCTAGACCGTCTAACGCATATCTTAAGTAATAATCGTCCTTTCGTCGGGTAGGACGTATCCGTAGGGCGTAATCGTACTTCCTATCGGTACTCGCTCCGTAATGAAGTTATAGTACGTATAGTCTATAGGTATTCGAGGGTAATTCTAGAATTTTGCCCGTAAGCTTATCTAGAAATAATCAAATTAGATAGGATCGACCTTCCGTTGTCCGTTAACCTTTAGAAACATTTCCTCGTATTTGCGTACTAGATACAAGGCGATTGTTCGCGCTGCTATAGGTATATCTATTGTAAACGTAAGGATCGTATCGTCGTTAATCCCGAATTCGTCTTTACTTTCTTTATTCGTAGTTTCTTCCTCGGTATCTAGACTTCCTTCTGAATCTTCTTGCTGTTCCTCCTCTTGCTAAGGGGACTCCGGTACTTCTAGGATAGCTCCTAACTCCTCCCCGGGAGGGAATAAAGCTTCCGGATCTCGGTTTTCTTTATCGTCGGCATTTAAGCAAGATTCATCAATCGTTTCTTCTTCTAACTAGGATTTCGCATCTTCTCGTACGAGTCGCCTAATCTAAGGGAAAAATCCTGCTTCTACTTTAGTAGAATAATGAATTTAGCATTAGTCGTCGTAATAGAATCTCTAGTAAAGGGCTCTATATACGGGTTCTTGTCGTCGTGCTATTATATAGATTTGTCGTAGCTCTTCCTTTACGACCTCTACGTAGGTCCTCGGCGCGTTATTAATAGAGTATAGCTCTACTACTATTCGGTAGCCTTCTCTGCCCGAGTCCTTTCGTTATATTATATTGAACTGTTCGCGTCGTACTATATTCTTGCCGCGGCAGTTCCGTGCTATATAGCCTTCCTTGCTATACGTATAGCAAGTCAATCTTCCTACTTTCTTAGGCGAACTCTTGCCTTTTCTTCCTTTAATTGCTCGACCCTTCTAGGTAGCGTCTAGCTCTATTAGTTGCGCACCGTAGTAGTTGTTCCCTTTTAGTTTATCGTAGGTACTATAGTTTCGTCTATTATCGTATCTAGGAGTATAACTAGCTTTTCTAGAAGTCTTGGAATCGTAACGTCGTTCTAAAGCTCGTTCGTAGAGCCTATCGTCGAGATCGATCGTAACCTTAACTAATATTCCTATATTATCTATTTTTCTACCGTCGCGTATAAGCTCGTCTTTAACGTTATCCTTAAGACCTCGCCGATACATTGTTATAAGAGCTTCGTCGTCCTAATCCGTAAGTTAGGCGTATTCCTAAAATTTAGCGGCGTAATCGGTATATAACCCCTTCTAAGTTAAATGTTAGATAACCCTAACTACGGTAGCAACTTCGTTAGAAGATCTAAAGACCTTCTTTATCGCACGCTTAAGATTTTCGTAGCTTGCGAAGATTCTATCCGAATTGTCGGTCCCGTTACTATCTAGATAGGTCCTAAGAAATAGTTTAACCTAATACTAAGCCCTGCCTCGCATAAACGTCGTTGCGAAGACTAGCTTTAAGTTATCTTAAACCTAGTTGAACATGAAATATATATCTATCTAGCTAACCTAGGTATCGAACTTGTCTCGGTCGCCGTAATAAAAGTCTAGCTTTCCGATCTTGAGAGAATCGTTTCCGGCATAGGTTCCGAGTGCATTGCTAGCACTAGAGGTAGTACGTCGAGTACTGCCTATCTCGCTAAGGGCGGGAGTTCCCCTTCCGACTTATAATAAGGCACTTATCCTAAGGGCGTTTAAAGTGTTACGGTTACTCGCGACAGATCGTTAGGTAACTTCTTATTACGTGCAAGCCGAGGCTTCTTTAGAGAGGCTAATACAAGCGGGAGGCAGAGACAGAATAATTGGTACAAAGGTAATTCTAATTAGTAAGTAGGTAATATAAGTTGAACGCCTCGAGCTATAAGGGCATTCCGGCGTTCCTAAATATAAAGGAGATATCTTGTCTATAGTCGTAAGCGACGTGAGCGACGCTATCGCTCTCGACCGCTCCTATCGCTCCTAGTAAGATAGAGCGATAGCTCAGCCTACTAGTCTTAGCGTCGCTCTAAGATTATATAAGGACTCTAACTAATCAGATCCGTAACAAACTATAGTAGCCGTATACGAAGAGGTAACGGTATTTAATCTTATTCTTGTTCTTCTACGGCTTATACTGCTTAAACTCGTATCTAGTCGACTTTCCGAAGGCGTAGATATATTCGATAAGGGCCTAATAAGACGTAAACTTCGACTCTCGTAGTATAGGTCTACGGCGGCGCTCTTTTAGAGAGAATAGGTACTTCTAAGGTCGCGGAGACACCGATCTTCTATTAGATAGAACTATACGCTCGTAAGGTAGCGATAGTAAGCGATAGCGACCTCGAATACGCGTCTTTAAGACTAATTTAACCTCCTTCTACGACTTAATATCTACTACCGTTAATTAAGCGCCTTCTACTACTATCTTTATCGATTGCGCGTCTTCTACGCCTTCTACTACTATCTCTATCGATTAAGCGCCTTCTACCGCTATCTCTATCGCTATTTCTATCGATTACGTACCTTCCGCTATCGCGTCGGCGATAAGATTATCGAGAAACTCGTCGTATAATAGAGATTTAGCTATTTTCGATAGTTACTAGGCAATCTACTATAAAAGAGGGAAGAAATGCGAATTTTAGGTCTACGGTAGAATTCCTTCCTAGATAACGCGCGACGCGCCTATTAATAATACTAACTAAGAACGGAAATAGCCTATATTAGGTAGAAAGAGCACGTAATTCTATATAGAGCGATTCTATAATAGTGCTAGTATCGGGATATGCTAGGGCTCGGGCGGCTAGCTAGGGCTCGGTTTAGTATCGAGGGGTAAGCTACTACCTACTACTATCGGTACTAAATCTAATACCGTATGCCCCTACGTCCTAAATAGGATGTTTATTTACTTCTCGGTATATATATATATATCTTCCTATCGTATTCTTCCTCTTTCCTATAATAACCTCGCTATCGCTATAAGTTCTATCCCTCCTTCTATTTACCGCTAATTTTAACGTATAGGAGGATAGGGGATATATATCGCGTAGACGCGGTATATATATTTCGCGTAGGGGTCCCTTTCCGGCAAATCTAACCTCGCTATCGCCCCCCCCCCCCTTCGGAATCCTGCTCTGCCCTCGGAATCCCGCTCCGCCCTAGGGCAAAGAATAGTAGAGGCCCCCGCTAGCTAAGACCGTCGGACGGCGGGGTCCCTCCGTAGGGAGGTACGACCGTAGGAAGGGGGGACCCGTCCGTAAGGTATGCTCGAGGCGTAGGGGTGCTATTCTGCGCGAGATACTGCCCCTTCCGCCGGAGGCTATTAGTATCTTTATTTTTAAAAACGTCGCAAATAAACGTTGTCTAAATTCTCGAATCTCGTCTAAATTCTCGTCCAATTTCTCCCTAATTTCTTTCTTCCTCCGTATTCTATAGTACGTTACCCTTCGCAACGAGCGTGGGGGTAAAAAGACCGTGCATGCGGTATTAGATTTGGTGCCCTGCCATCCTCGAGCGCGGCCCGAAATAACTTTTTCGCCAACACTGCCCGATCGGTCTCGAAGGCCGGCACCGATTGGCTGGCGGCGACGGCGGCGATGGCCTGAGGCTGCAAGCACGTGACTAGAATATCCCAACGAAGGTTCAGCGCGCTGTCTCGTCTCGCACAGAAGCTACTGGGACAGTCGCACCGGATTCCGAGCATGACAGTACAGTATGCTGCTGGTGCCGATGGTGTGCAGGCAAGCTCCGACATTTCTCTGTGCTTGACTTTGCCCGCCGAATATTCTAAGCTGCCAAGTCGTCCAAGACACCAAGACGGACAATTGTTGATTTTGGCGTACAAGGCATTGGCATTGGCGTTGGCATTGGCATTGGCATTTCCAGACTGTGCCTGCAACACCACGTGGGATTTCGCGTGTTGGTGGTAGCTGCCATGGGATGCGCAATCAGATGGCGTTCGTGGCATCTTGCGAATCGTTCCACATCTTTTCCTTGTGAACGGCATGCTTGGCTTGGCAAAATGCTGTCCATTAGGTAGCCACCTGCCGCAGTGCCGCTCCTCCGTGCGCAGCGATATGTCGGATGACACGGACGGCGGCGGCGGCGGCAGCGGCACTCACGGCGGAGGTGCGAACTTCGTGATGACCTCGTCGCACCAGAGAGGGAAATACCGAAGGCGCTTCTTGGCAGACAGACATGCCCCCCTCCCCTCCCCTACCCTCCCGAAGAAGACGTCACATCCACCACCATGCGCGAATCTCTTCAAACTAGCTGTCTTGCAGGCTTGAGTCTTCTATAGCAGAAGTTATCTCGCGATCGTCCAGGACACGCTCGATATCGCCGCTCTCTCGTACGCCACATAACACTCCGGAATATTCTACATCGACCTCACTTCTCAAACGCTGCCGTACGATCGGAAGCACCAACATGTTGCAATTCTTGGCGCACGCTACACCAAGCCGTACGCCCTGAAGCTTGTGGCCATTCCGCGATTCAATTGAAAGAGTTGGCTCAGACTGCATTGCCGAAGACTTGGCAGTCGTTGCCGAAGGGGGGTTAAAGAAAGAGCGAGGAACATGACACCATGGCGTGCAGATGTGTCTGATGGATGTGACAGCACAATACTGAGTGGAGAGCGAAGCGGATGCGAGGCAGACATTGGGAAGCACAGGCTTTAATGATCAATTCTAAAAATGCTATTGCATGGCACGAGCTTCCAGTGCGAGCCAGAACAACCACACAGTGCCTTCAATCAGTCAGGCCTCGTCTCTAGAAACGACTCTAATTGAGCCAGCCGACGTTGTGCTGAAATCAAAGAAGCAGGACCAATACTTCGCTCGACGATTCATGGCTAATCTTCGCCCGTCCGAAAGCCGATCGTCTGGACACCAAACAGCTCAAACAAAAGCCCCTATCCAGGCGGACAAAAATCAGCGACTGTATGCTTGGAGGTCGGATGCAATGAATCGCCGTTCCTTTGCTCTTGATGCCTTGTGCAGCAGTCCTTAAGGTTCTTGGCAGCCTTGCTCTGCGGATACTTACTGTACAGCCGAATCTCAGCCGCTGTCCTAGCAACTGCTGGCCTCGACGGTCGCATGTATGAGCTTCGATGAGATAGAAACCACGCCCACTGTGCAGGAACTGAGTGGATGAAATCTGTACGCCCTCCTATAACACGCGACCGCGTCCCGTCTCATTCCTGCAGACAGTCAAGAGACGAACGTCGCAGTGATAGGCCTCGAGAATCAGCCTTCATATGTGAGTGATGCACGTGTGAGTTCATAGCTGACAGTTCGAGCTCTTCTCCGACCGTGCAGAGTACTTGTACTGCACCTCATTTCAGAGGTGAATTTGAAAGCATGGCTCTAACGTCACCTCCTGCTATTCTTGGCATCAACCTGCTGATCCGTTCAAGCGCGGCTCAAAACAGCAGCTATCACTCGAGACTGGCGTCGACTTCGAGATGATGGTGGGTGAGTGATATATTGTTTCCCCCACCGAATACGAGACTTTAGTAAATTTTGCAGATCGACTTCTATTTCTTGCGACGGTTGTACTTCGCCTCTGGCTTGGCGTGCTCTAGTCTGATCCGACGCTGGCATCATTACCTGAATGAGCACCCTGGTAACATCGTATCGTCCCACAATACTTGACGACATTGTATAACGACATTAACAGATCTCATCATCGCGTGCCATGAAAGCTTTTCGATGAATTTCGAAGGAATCGCTATAAAGCTGCAGTCTGCATCCTTCGAAATGTGGAAGGAACGACAAACTTTCACAACCACAAAAATCAGTAATAATCCCATCAATCCTTCAACATGAAGTCCGTTCTCGCCCTCGCCCTCGCTTTGGCCGCAACCGCTGCAGCTTTCCCAGCTGCTGGTATCAAGGTACATTCGCAATCCACATCCTAACCCATACCCAAACTCTAATCCAACCACCCTTTTACAGGCCCGTCAAGTAGCCGACGAATCCCTCTCCTTCACCGGCGTCGCCATCCGCTCCGGCAGCGACATCCAGTACGCTCCCATCGCAGCCAGCGGCACAAACTTCTGGTTAAACAAGGACACATCCACCTACACACCCGACAACATCCCCGTCAACACCAACGCCACAACCAGCACCGTCTTCACTTCCTCCCTCGACGCCGACACTCTGGCCCTCGACGTCACCGTCCCCGGCGGCCAGCAAGTCTACGTTTCCGCTGATGGGGCATTGAAGTACACTGTCGCTCACAGCGGCTCCACGGGTGAAGGCTCTACATTGCAAGGTTTTGGAATTGTGGATGGACATTTGGTGTTTGAGGGTAATGACTTTCTTGCTGTTGCTACTAATGAGACTTCGAATATTCCTGATGGGAAGGGGACGGCGTATCAGATTTTTGCTGCGAGTAGGACGGAGTTGACGGGACAGGGGTTTGCCGTCCGTGTTATTGGGTTTGAGGGGGAGAGGGCTTGGGAGTATGCTTAGATTTGGTGTGTGTGTGGATGTGTGTGTGTGATGGTATTGCTGGGAATGGGAGAGGGGGTTTGGGATTGGAGGGAGGGTTCGATTTGTAATGTTCCTTAGCAGGATTTGTTGAGCGTTGCATCTCGTAAGCAATAGTCTCTCAGTCTACCAGGGGCCTCTCACATAGATCGTGAACCAGCCACTAGCTATTAGCGACTAGTAAATTCCTACTACAACCAGACGTCGAGCCGAAGCCATTGTCCAACCTGTGTCGTGCTGCTTGTAACCGTGGCGTGGTGTGCACGTAGCTCCTCATCTAGCTCGTCCTTCGGCGTGAGCTGATCTGGTCCCTCGGAATGAATACTAAGCGCTTTAGAAATTTCGACGCAAGCTCTCTTTCCATCTTCAACGTCAAAACCTTCACCGTTCAAGACAGACTCAATGACATCCTCGTCGCGCTCCAAGGTTCGACTAGCGTCATCCATGGGCAACATTGCTCTTAAAGGTGAAGCTACTAGCAAGATGGTGCTTTCGTCAATCTTTTTTTTTCGTTCAAAATATTAATGGTTCCTCGATCCATTTCAAGAAAAAAAAAGATTTTGCATTGGATCGACCGTCTTCTCAACATCTGGAGAAGCTGTCGTCGGTAAATTTAGACTCGGTTCTGTTTCCGCTGACGTATGGTATCAATCAGAGCCCCACCAAGGATACAGTACGCAGAGGTGAGATTTTTGTATATATTATCCTTGATACTGCCCTGACGAAGCTCCAGAATCAGGAACCCACTGTCCTGAGTCCACTACCGAGTCGGGAACCCATTGTCCTGAATCCGCTGCAGAATCGGGATGCCATTGTCCATTATTGGATGTCGAAGTCGTGGTTTGCGTCGTGGAATGCTTCGTGCTGGGGGTCGTGGTTTGCGTCGTGGTTTGCGTCGCTCCCTGCGAATCGATATTCCCATCCGACTGCGCCCCCCCATTCCCACATCTCGACTCAGCCTTAACCCATCCAGTAAGCCGATTCGCCACATCAGAAGCATAGCACTTCGCAGCACCCATAGCATCACTCAAATCGCCACTCGCCGCAACAGCACCACTATTATATGCTCTCGCAGCGCTATAGGCGTCAGGGTATTGATCGAGGTACTGCACAAGCCCTTTACCACTCGTTGTGCCTTGTGTTCCATCTTGGATCATTTTATGTATAGAGTTCTTACGATTTTCGGGATTGTATGTCGTGCCGTTGCGGGATTGCATGAGGCCTAGGTTGTGGACTCCGATGTTGGTTGAGTTGACTCGGACGCAGCCTTTGGACTTTGGGGGCGGAAGTGTTAGGACGAGTGATCATTACCTCCTGAAGAACGGGCTTACTTACCTCTTGAAGAACAATCGCTAGAATGAAACGGTTGTCTACGCTCGAGTTCTTTGCAAGCGATTGGATTGCGTCGTAGATATCTTGGGTTTCGTCATCGCTGTGGCTAAAATCAGCGTGATTGTTGGACACGAGAGTCTTGATTAATATATAACGACTTACGCATTATTCTCGCCCCAGCCGTGATCTTCGCAAGCAGTCTTGATAGTCTTATTTTTGTTGATATTCCACATGTCATCAAACGACACCCAGTCTTCCTTCTTCGGAAACGTATCCCACTCTCCGGCGTAGAGAGTATATTCGTCCTTTCCAGCACCAACACCATTGTCCTTTGCACTTGGATTCTTGCTCGCTCCACCGTTGTCAAAGGCTGCTGCGTTCTTGACCTGAATATCCAAACCTTTACTCTCAATGTCATCGTCATTGCTGCTGTTGTCTTGCTTACCACTACCTTTCTGATGACGATGATGATGATGATGATGAAGTTTGGGGATATAAACGACGGAAACAGCGAGTATGGTAGCTGCAATGCATGCCAGTAGGAAAAGTGCGATTGCCTTCTTGCACAGATTGCCTTTCCCGTGTGCCATGGCGATCTCGAGGAAATTTTGCTTGAAGTTTCAGAAACGATAGAAGGAGATCGAGTAGTAGCAGCGGAGATCTTGAAGCCTCAGAGATTGAGCGGTATTCATATCTACAGTGCGCGAGTTTGGCCGACAGGGCTCAAGTCCAGCTAAATGAGGATGCAATTACGACGAGGTGGTCCGTTCGTGCTTTGATATGATATATACGGCCATCTTTCCGCCTCGCAGTGGTCAACCTCAGATGCTAGTCTAGGCGGACGCAGTCCTCGTGACCAAGTCTTCGAGGCGCGCAACGAGATGAAGTCGAGGACGCATGGGCCATCACTTTCGTGGAGATCGAGGAAGCTTGGAGGGTATAATAGTGTATTATCTTTAGCAACTGTGCCTTGGCAAGCGAAACATACGTTGGTCCCTGTAATTTGAAAGGTATGAGTTGCGGAGAGATGGACGTGCTTTCCTCGTCACGATTCACAACACAGTGGCTGTTTGAAGAAGGTCAAGGCTGTGCTTGGTGGCAGAAAGGGTCCTTCGACTCGTCGCTCCTCGGACATTCTTCATTTCAGCTTCCATCGCTCGACTGGTCGGCTTGGCGGCGCGAAAGGCGAACAAAGCCCATCTCAACCGCTGATGCTATTCTTACATTGACCTCTCCAGCTCTTCACTTTTTCTCGAAGCGTATAGCCGTAACCAGATATGCTCGATGAAGCTTGGAGGATCAGAAAATGCTGCCAAGCGTCGCATCTTCGCAGGGTGAAGCGGGTCTTTAATTCGGCAGCCTTGTGAAGACACGTCCACCTGGTCTTTGTCCTTTTGTCCCATTGAATTGGTGAATGCGTACTGATACATGCCCATGCCCATTCGACTCCTGACGCCTCGCTATTCCGAAAATGCAACATGTTTTTTGTTTGCACTTGTCCTCAAATCGCCCACCTGTAGCTCGCATATCGACCAGCGGTTTCTGATTTCCGAATGATCTTGACGACCTGTGCGCGGCGCAGACCGAGATAGCGTGCCATGGGGTCGTCGATTCTGATACGCGGCAACTGCGTTTCCTTCAGGCGGTATCGCTCAAGTAGCCCGCGCTTCTCCTCTTGGCTCAGGAGAATGTGCTTAGGCACCAGCTCGTGCCGGCTGATATTGACCAGCAGATCATCCTCTTTGAAAATTTCCATAATAAGCGGATGGACAGACGGGATGATTTTGAGGGCAGCAGAAGTTGGTTGCACTTGCGATACGTAGATTCCAGTGTAGTAATTCTTGTCTGCCAGATTTGATGCAAATTGCTTCAGTTGCTTGATGCCGATGCTTGCGTCGTTGGAGAACTCGACGTGGATAGTACCAATCTCGGGCGGTTTCTCGTCTTGCCCCGGTCGCTGGATGGGCGTGTACTTTTTGATCATGGCGTCAGAAGGTCGAGCTGTAAAGGCCATCTTGACTCGCGAGGGTGCGCCGGACTCGTCTGCGTATTGCTGGCGGAATTCTTCGAGAGAAATGTTGCATTCTTCATCGGTCAGCTCGTAACCCTATTTCGGGAGTCAGTACGAAGCGGCGCATGGTGGGAGAAGGTGTTTGCGCATACTCGATCGGAACACATCTGTTTGGTGGTTCGCAGCACGCGCCAAAGTCGCGATCTGTCTTCCGTCAGCGGGATGCGCAACGTAGGGTAGTTGGACGAAGACATACAGCTCACGGCTGTTCTCGTCAGACATGGCGGCGGGGGTTGCGTGAGCACGTTGTGTGAGGGTGAGGGTGACGGGCTATGGAGAGAGAGATGGCTTGCGACTCTGGACTTTGTGGTTCTAAGTTCTTCGCACATCCGAATCCGGCTAGTCCCATTCGGCAAGTGATGCCGAGGGATCGTCGTCACGTCACTTGGGAGCTCGCGCCTGCGCCTGCGCCTGCGCCTGCCTACTGCTGCTGCTCCTGCTGCTGCACTCTCACAAGACAGCAAACGCCTTCCCGATCCACGAGCACTTCCTTCCTCCCCAAGGACACTCTGACTGCTACCCAGCAGGCGCAGGCCATGCAGAGGGCCGGTCCAGCGATTAAGGTTGCAGGCGAATGAGATCACCAATGAGGGACGGTGGACGTGACGGGTGCGACCCAACGACGACGGCGGCCAGAGTGCTACAGCATCGCTATCGACATCGCTAGGCCAGGCTCGGCTAGGGAGCAGCAAAGCTTGGGTGGGAGCTGTACACGCGCGACGGCCTCCTCTTTGCCTTACCGCGAGCCGCACTATGGATCATTCTACCCAGGCCCGCTTGTCGGACAAGTTCTATGACAAGAGAAAGGCCGGCGCATTAGAGTAAGACCCTGCCGCCTTGCATGACATACTACATGAGCACCCTTCCGTTGCGCTGCGCGGCTCGACCTCATCAACCATGCACGGCAATGCGTCCAGCTTTGTACCCGCTCTATCCCATCTTCCTCACCAGCTACACCACCAGACGTGCCATGAGCTTCTTCAAGCCCGCCCAGAGCTCCGTCGTCCCGCACTCTCCCCACTGTCCCTACATCGACGACTTCGACGTCGTCATTCCCGCCGTCCACAGCAGAAATGTTCTGACACAGGCATGCAACAGACTAGAGTCCGTCATCCGCAACGCCCTCGCCGACCACAATCACACCCGCATCGAGAAGATTGTATGGCAGCTGTGTCACGACTACGCCTATGCCGTTCACCAGCCCCACGCACGTAATGGTGGGCTCATAGGACTGGCTGCCGCCGCAATAGCCTTGGGATCTGTAAGCATGTCGTAGGAAGACTCTGAACGCCAAACGGCCTAACGAGACCGACAGGAAGTGGCACGTTATCTGAAAGACATCGTGCCTCCCGTGCTTGCCTGCTTCTCCGACCAAGATGCACGAGTGCGATACTATGCCTGCGAGAGCATGTACAACATCGCCAAGGTGGCCAAGGGCGAGATCTTGGTATACTTTAATGATGTCTTTGACGCTCTCAGCAAGCTGGCCGCCGACACGGAGCTCTCTGTCAAGAACGGTGCCGAATTGCTAGATAGGCTCATCAAGGACATCGTGTCTGAATCAGCAGCGACGTACGCATCAATTGTCGTGCCTGAAGCGGCAATCGCGTCAGGAGAGAACACGCCGGACCAGAGCATGGAAATCCCAACGGCATTCAGTCTGCCCAAATTTATCCCATTGCTAAGAGAACGAATCAATGTACAGAATCCCTTCGCGCGCACATTTCTCGTGTCATGGATCACATTACTAGATCAAATACCAGACCTCGAAATGGTCGCCTATCTACCCAGCTTTCTTGGTGGCCTGCTCCGCTTCCTGGGCGACAGCAATGAGGATGTTCACACAACCACCAAAACAGCCCTGGATCGCTTTCTGGTCGAGATCAAGAAGATCGCAGCTGTGAAGAAAGGTATAGCTGAGAGCAGAAAGAGCAAAGACGAGACTCTGAACAAAGACAGCGATACGGATAGCGTGATCCAGTCACACGAGCCTGCTGAGCTGGAGCCCGACTTCGCGGAAAGTCGCGAAAGCCGTGAGAATGGTCAAATGGACGCTCCAGAGCCAGCGCAGCAGGACGCAACCGATGGCGAAGAGATTCGTAGTGTGACCTCTTCTTTCACAGCAGCTGAAGATGAGGAGAATCAGGAAGGACCGATGGAAGACGAGTGGATACCCGGTCAAGATGTCACGATCGACTACTCAAGTATCCTACACATTCTGGTTGAGAACCTGGCGTCCTCGCGTGAAGAGGGGGTCAAGGTCACCTGCCTGAAATGGATCGAAGTTTTCTTGGATATCTGCCCGGAGAATATTTTGTCGTTCACACCACAGCTCCTTCAAGAACTGCTGCCAGCACTGAGTCACGACAAGGAACACGTCAAGTCTGCCGCGAAGGGTGTAAATGAGCTGCTTATAAGATACATCATGTCCTTGCCAGAAGACCACGCCCGGCAGCAGGGTGGAGGACCAGAATCACACCAGGCAGTGAGCTCCGCGCAAGTATCGTCAGCACCTCCAACCGCGGCCAATGCATCCTCTGGCATTCCTTCCCTCCGACCTCTCAAGATAGATGGAAATGGCGAAAAGCGAGAATCATTGGGAGCTCCAAAAGCCGCCCGCAAAGCACCAAGTCCAGAAGTTCCCGAATCACGATCACCACAAGTCGCAACGCCGGAGCCTGCCGTCCAGGAGAGCGAGAGGGCAGAGTCGCCGCACGACGACTTGGACTATGAAGCTGCGGTCAACGCTTTGACTTTGCAATTTCTGCACGAAAATGAGGCGACCAGAGTAGCAGCGCTGGCTTGGTTGATCATGCTGCATCGCAAGTCGCCGCGCAAAATCCTGGCCATACAAGACGCGACCTTCCCAGCTCTGCTCAAGACCCTCAGCGATCCGGCTGAGGCTGTCGTCACAAGAGATCTGCTGCTCCTGTCTCAGATCAGTAAGAGCAGCGATGAAAGCTATTTCACATCATTCATGGTCAACCTGATCAAGCTCTTCTCGACAGACCGACGGCTTCTTGAATCGCGAGGTAACCTCATTATTCGAAATCTATGTCTCTCATTATCTGCCGAGCGTATATATCGTACCATGGCCGACTGCCTGGAGAAGGAAGAGGACGACATTGAGTTCGCCGCGATCATGGTACAGAACCTCAACAACAACCTCATCACGGCGCCCGAGCTCGTGGATCTGCGCAAACGACTGCGAAATCTTGATAACCGAGACGGCCAAACCTTCTTCACGGTCCTTTTCAAGGCATGGTGTGTGAACGCGGTTGCAACCTTCTCGCTCTGTCTGCTCGCGCAAGCCTACGAACAGGCATACGAACTACTGAAAGTGTTCAGCGAGATTGAGATGACTGTCAATATGCTCATTCAAATCGACAAACTGGTTCAATTGCTGGAGTCGCCTGTCTTCACCTACTTGCGCATGCAATTGCTTGAACCAGAGCGGCATCCACATCTGTATAAATGCCTCTACGGTCTACTGATGCTTCTACCACAAAGCTCGGCTTTCGCTGCGCTGAAGAATCGCCTCAACAGTGTCTCTGCGATTGGCTACCTCCACATTCGACCCCCAGGCCAAGGCGCCACGACGCCAGGCAGTGTTGGTGAGTGCCTGGTTTTTTTTGGAGACAAGTTCTGGTTAAATGAGTTACTTGACATCGACTGACTTGCAAATAGGCTCGTTCGCCGAACGACAGAATCGACTAAAGAGCCGTGAAGACGGCGGTATCAGGTGGAATGAGCTCTTAGACCGATTCAAGGCCACGCAGGAGAAGATTCGACGCAATCAGCAACGACAGCTCATTAGCCAGCACGGACTCGACGACACGCCTCAACAGATCCCGGAGAAGAAGCCGATATCGATGGGTCCGCCGCCGCGGCCAGAGCGAAGTAAGTATCTTCAATCACGTTGAGCCAAGACGGCTGGGGCTATGGCATCACACATGACAATCCCATCTCGGCGCGCTCACACGCCTTCGTCCGCATTCAAAGACCTTCGCTGACCCTTGACCACTTGCTTTTAGGCCAGAGCGCATCGCAGCGACAACTGCCTCAGAATCCGCTCGGTCAACACCAGAAAGGCAAGAGCAGTCTCAGCAACCTAGGCCGTTTCGCCACTAGGGCTGGCACGAAGGGCAAGAAGTAGAACTCCCCAGACCTCGACGGTTCACCCTCTTTTGTATTGGATTACACCTCTGAAGGTCCAGGTGAGGGCTATAGTGACAGGCTCGCGGCGAGCGCCGAGCCCTCGGTCAGCAGCAGCGGGATTCTCCAAGGAGGCGATCAGTCTCGAGCCGGGAGCAGCAACAAATCTCACGAGAGTGATCAGAAGTCTCCGGAGTCACATGGGATCGACCACGCAGATAATGACGGTCTATACTACGCTACACCGCCGGAATCGCCGAGTGAAGCAAGGGAGAAGTTCCGGAAAGCGTATGATGAGTATGATGAGGGAAGGCATGATTCGGCATGTGCTGGCGAGTCCTTGCCTCCACGGCCTAGTTTTGATCATTTGTTGGATTCGTGAGGACATCATTGGTGCGGGGATTAGCGAGGCGTTGTATGAAAATTCAGGCGAATTGATGCCATTGGCAAGAACGTGTATTTTTGGGTCAGAGATGGCAAAATGGACCTGTTGAAGCACGAAGCAGAGTAGATTATGTACAGAAGAAGGCTCCCGTAAAACAAAGTATGCGTTGGTAAGAGGAGGCTGGGCTGGGAGACAAAGTGTCAGTATGAGAAGTGCGCACAGAGTGCTTCAAACCACAGGTGACGCAGTGGCCAATCTGTTAACTCTAATCCTCCACTCCTCCTTCTCCTTCATTGCCTCACGATGTCGATCTCTCGAGCCGCATCTTCATCGAGAGCGTCCCAAGCTCTAGTCAAGGTACATCCTCGCTGGTACGTGCTTCAAAGTAGAAGTCGACAAGGTCATAATATGCACGTCTTAGATCTATTCCAAATTCTGGCGTCAGGTACGCATCGCCAGATGGAATCAGAGGCCAATTATGGAGGCGCGAATGGTCGTTCTAGACCCCACCATGCACCCCGCAGCCACTCTCCTCGCAATGTCGTCTGGTCTTTAAGCAGATCATTGCTCGAGACAGGTCGAGGCGCTGTCCGGCAAGATGGAGCTTTAGCTGTCGAATGGGGTAGACTCTGGTCATGGTAAGGACACAGAAACATCTAATAGTAGGTGTAGACCGCCGCTGAAAGATCTCGTTACCTGCATCTCTCCATTCACGTGTGGTTACATTGGACAGGGTACATTATCAACTAGAATAGAAGAGAGCAACGAAGCTCCTACGACGACGACGACAACACGGCGTTCCTTCCTGACAGAAGCAAGATGGGTAGCACCGGCGAGAATTACATCAAATGGGACGCTCCAGGCGTCGAGGTCATTCAGCCGGGCGAGAAGGAGAAGATCTGGGAGGTCTCTGAGCAGTTCAAGCGAATGCAGATGATGAACTTCAACGAGCATCACCATTGCCTGCGAGGAACTCACTTGAAGACTCAAGGTGTATGTTCTTATTCGATTGTATCTGGTTGGACTTTGGACTGACGATGTGCTCAGTGCGTGATCGGCAAGTTCGTTGTCAACGATAATCTCCCGCCACACCTCGCCCAGGGCATGTTTGCCAAGCCAGGAACCTACGACTGCATCATGCGATACTCCTCGCTCACACCAAAGCTCGTGCCGGATCCAGTCCCAGCTCCACGAGGTATCGGCATCAAGGTATTCGGCGTTGAGGGAGAGAAACTATGGGGCGAGGACAAGAAGACCCAGGACTTCACCATGAACAACTACCCCGTGCTGGAGCTGCGAACCCCTGTCGCGACTTACGAGATCGCAGACTCTCTGGAGAAGAATTGGAATAACATACCAGATTTCGCCAAATACCTAGGCACGCGAAAGGATGCTGAAGTCGCTTGCATGCCAGGGAACCTTCCACAGCAGTACATGGTCGCTATGAACGAATGGTCTCAGTCTGCATACCGCCACGGCGACTTCGTTGCCAAGTACGGCGTCTTCCCCAAGGGCGAGGAGCAGTTGAAGCTCGTCGATGAGCGTATCCCAGACGACGCAGCAATCAACATCATCTCTCAGCACAACCGCGCTTTTCACCAAAAGCATAAAGTCACCTACTCCTTTTGCGCTCAAATGCTACAAAACCTCGACGAACAGCCCGTAGACGACATCGGTGTCCTCTGGGACGAGAAGAAGTACCCATTCGAGGAACTCGGAACCCTCGAATTCGATCCACAAGATTCCTGGCTCCCCGAGTTCCGCGTCTGGTGGGATGACCGAATCACTTGCAACGGCTGGCACGGTTTGAAAGTCCACCAACCTCTCGGCAGCACCAACCGTATGCGGAGAGTCGTGTATGCTGAGAGCAGGAAGCTTCGAACGCGGGTCAATGGTTTTAAGGATTATATTGAGCCTTCCAGCTTGATGGAGGTTCCAGCGCCGATTCCTGCGATTTATCAATTTATTAATCCGGAGGCGGGGCAGAAGGTGACTTGTTCGGAAGATATCCATGTTGCGTAGTAGAGGAGGGTAGAGGGTTTGTGTTGTGATTTGTGATTTATTGCGGCGTGAGAGTTGTGTATAGTTCTGTAGCTTGGAGTGATACTTTGCGATACTATTTTTTTTCCCTCTCGTCGAGTCTCGCCATATACTTCGCTTTAATTTGTCGATTGGACGCTGGAAAGTGTTTCTCGGCGGCTCAGACGTCTTGGGTCACTGCACGGTCTAGCAGGCATAGACTCTTGGAATTCCGGTTGAAGTCATGCTGTGTAGCTGGCTCTTCTAAACACGAATGTAAGAGACATGTACTGTGGAAGTTCTCCCTTCGACCCTTCTCCCACCCTTCTCTGCTTACCTCGCGGCTTTAGCCGTTTCGAGATTGACTTTTCTGGGGCAATGGGGATACCCGCGATACCCGCTCCTCCTTGGTCAAAGCGCGACGACAATCCGTTTGGCCGACGGTTCAACGTAAGGTTGCCGAAGCGAGGATGGATCCAGCTCTCCAGCCATGTGAGTGCTGCATGGAAAGGTAAGTATCGTTTCTTTAGGTTGCTCCGTTACTCACTCACCTCTCGAATATACACTTTAAGACACCATGTCGCTTCACAAGCAAGATGAAGCGTGGAATGCTCACCAAAGAGACCCGGAGAAGTTCTGGATGCACCAAGCAGATCAAGTAGTATGGAACAAGAAACCCACGACGGCATTCAAGCGTACGACTAGAAAGCTCAAAGATGGCGTTTCTCATCAAAGCTGGCAATGGTTTCCCGACGGCGAAATCTCTACCTCGTACAATTGCGTTACGCGACACGTCGAGGCTGGAAATGGCAACAATGTTGCGATCAAGTGGGACAGTCCTGTCACAGGCAAGAAAGAGAGCATCACATACGCGAAGCTTGAGGAAGAAATCAGCATATTGGCAGGTGCATTGCGGGAAGAGGGCGTGAGGAAGGGAGATACCGTCATCATCTACATGCCAATGATACCGGCTGCCCTGATCGGGATGCTCGCAGTTGCACGACTAGGCGCGATTCATGCCGTAGTCTTTGGCGGCTTTTCAGCATCATCTTTGGCACAGAGAATCGACGCTTCAAGACCGAAAGCTATCCTTACAGCAAGTTGTGGTATTGAAGGTGCGAAAGGTCCACTCCCATATGAGCCAATGGTCCGAGGCGCTATCAAGCAATCGAAGCATAAACCACTGAAGACCCTGATTTGGCAAAGAGACGAGCATAGGTGGAATGAGACGAATAGACTGGACGGAGAGCGTACTTGGCAGCGTGTTGTCAAGTCAGCACGAGATCGAGGTGTGCGCGCTGAGAATGTACCCGTGAAGAGCAACGACTCTCTCTACATCATTTATACTTCTGGTACAACAGGGTCGCCGAAGGGAGTCGTCCGAGAAGTCGGAGGACACGCTGTCGGCTTAAACTTCACAGTACGATACGTATTCGGTATTTGTGGTCCTGGCGATACATTGTTCACGGCAAGTGACATTGGTTGGGTCGTCGGGCATTGCTATATCGTCTATGGACCTCTGCTCGCGGGTGCAACGACAATTCTGTTCGAAGGCAAGCCGGTCGGAACGCCGTCTGCAGACACTTTTTGGAGGATTTTAGAAGAGAACAAAGTCAACACCATGTTCACCGCACCGACAGCACTGCGAGCAATTCGTAAAGACGACCCAGAGAGCAAGTTCTTCAAAAAGCGCGGAGAAGCTGGCGGTCTCAAAAATCTCCGAGCTTTGTTCTTGGCTGGAGAGCGCAGTGAACCTGCAATCGTGACGATGTACGATGAGCTGGTTGGCAAGTACTGTGCTGAGAATGCGACCGTGATCGACAACTGGTGGTCTTCTGAGTCGGGGTCGCCAATGACATCGCTGTCTCTTTTACCTGGCACTGCCCTCGATTTTAACGACCAACAATATTACAAACCGCTTCCAATCAAGCCCGGAAGTGCTGGCAAGCCAGTACCAGGCTTTGATGTGAGAATCGTTGACGACGAAGGCAAGGAGCTCCCCAAGGAAAGTATGGGCAATATTGTCCTTGCGATGCCACTTTCACCCACTGGATTGACCACACTATGGGGCGAGGAAGATAGGTTCTATCGCAGCTACCTCAAGCGCTTCGACGGGCAATGGATTGATACCGGTGATGCTGGAATGATCGACGCTGATGGTTATGTGCATGTCATGTCTCGAGCAGACGACGTGATCAACGTTGCTGCACACCGATTGTCTACCGGCGCCATCGAGCAGGCCATTTCCTCCCACCCAGATATCACCGAAGCAGCAGTAGTTGGCATGCCTGATAGCATGAAGGGTCACATACCTTTCGCCTTCATCGCCACCCAAAATCCACCCGACGGTCTATTGAAAGATCTGAACGACAAGTTGCGACATCACATTGGACCTATCGCGAGTTTAGGAGGCTTCATCGCCGCACCCGGAGTAATTCCAAAAACTCGCTCTGGCAAGACTTTGCGTCGCTGTCTGAAAGAGATTGTCGAGAACGCTTTGAATGGCGACTTTGACAAAGACGTTGTGTACCCAGCCACAATTGAAGATCCAAGCGTCATTGGGAAAGCGAAAGAAGCGGCCAGGGAATACTTCACGAATGGCGATGGTGCGAAGATCAAAGCCAAGTTGTAGAAGCCGTGTTGGAGTTGTATGTAAGTGTACGTTTCATGTTTGCTGCGATCAGCCACGGCTCAAGAGTGACGAGATAATGGATTGTATAGCAAGCAAATGAAGTAATCGAATAATTGGGTTTCCCAAAGTCTCAGGCGGAAATTGCAAAGCGGCCGCGACGGTCGTCTTTGCTCTAAGCCCCAGATATCGCGCACATACGGAAGCTGACCGGGAACGGACTATTCAGATCAACACAGGGCTCTTTTCGGAGCGGCGTAGTAGAAGTTGTAAGAACCTTTTATTCTGGGCTGCACTGGCCAGCAGCCACGGCTCTAGGCTCTATGAACAAGACGCCGCATCCAGTATCTACCACTTCACAACCTTATAGCTCTTCCCATCCCTCTTGGTAATCTGGCCCGGGTACCCAGCGTCACCCCTTTTCCCAGCACCACCACCGTAGCCACTAGCGCTACCCGATCCAGCCGGACGCGTGCTGGTGAGAGTCCAATCGATTTGAACCTGTTGAGCGCCCGCGACTTCAGCATTATCGCAAGGCATTGTGCCCGCTGAAGTCACGGTTTGAGAATATCCGCCTTTGACACTGACGTAGCCGTTTTTCGCGAACATTTCGATCGAGTCGTTGACTAGATCGATCACGTCTCCGTTGCCGATGTTTGCTTGGCCGCCGTTTGGTGCTACGGCGTTGAAGAAGCCTGTGGAGTTTGATTGTCAGTCAGACGAACGAACTTCGATGAACCCGGCCGGGGTGGGTTTTTACTTACAAGATCCGTAAGAAACTATGACCCTATTATTCGCATTCACAGTCCACTCCTGATCGCCCTGGATGTTTGCGATCATTTGCTGGCAATCGGTGACCAAAGCATTCTGGCTCGGATCCGTTGAAAGCGCGACGAAAGTAGAAATTCCGCAGTCGTTGCAACCTGCGGCGTTGCCGGCGTTGCTGGTATCGCCGCGATTGGAACATTGTGTGTTAGGCGCGGTGTCGGCTTCGAGCCTGTTGATCTGCAGTAAACTGGATTTGGGTGTTGTCTTCTGATCTCCGGATTTTGTGCCGCTGGGTGCACGGTAGGTCTTGGCTTCTACGCCAAATAGGGGGAGGAGAGTGAGGAAAAGGGCGATGGTGGGATGCATTTTGAGGAGGTGGGTTGCTGGGTTGGTTCTGCTTTTGGGTGTGTACAAAATGCTGGTGTTGATCTGGGATGTGTCGATGGAGCTGTGAGTTCGATGCAATGCTGAGGATGCTGGGAATGCTGAGAACGCTGATAATGCTGGGACTGCTGAGACTGCTGGGAATGCTGAGGATGCTGAAAATGCTGAGAATGCTGAGAATGCTGTCGTTTTGAATTGAGTAATGTTCATATATACGACCATGCAACTCCAGACTGCTTTAATGAGCCATGAAGCCTGTGAGGCTGTGAAGAACGACACCAGGATGGATTGCTCAATCCATGCATGCCAACTTTGAGCCAAAATTCTGTATCCTACTTAAAATCGGCATCAACGGCCCCTGGCAGAACTGGGAATATCGTTGCTCGCCATGTGAGAGAAGAACCGACGTTTCGGAGCGAACATGTTCGAACCACATCACGCTAAAGCTGTCACAAGACGTGGGCTAAGCACTTGATTGAGGCATATTTTTCACCAACAAGACTGGTCTTGGTCGTCACTTCGTCCCAAATCTTTGGAGGCCGGCAAGTTTCCTCGTTGGTGAGTGCCTCAATGCGGCTCAACAACATCATAGCATTTCTCGAGCTTCTTCGAAACTCTACCATTATTAAGTAAGGTAAGGTTGACGAGGATCAAGTTTGGAATAGGAGGTGTCTACAAAGAAAGAAACAAGGCATACCATGGATATCATCTCCACAGCTTCCTCAACTGCGATTCGTGCACAGCCTTGCTGCAGAGGAATCTGATCGCGAGTCTCGATACTATGCTTTTGCTATCCCGGGACCAGGGCAAGGCATCGGGCCGACCTTCTATTTCGTATGTGGCTGGACCTATTATGGGCGATACCAAGATGTCGCAAATAGTGATTGAGCTAGGCCATTGTGCCGAAAGCGTGGACAGACAGCATCGTCTTTCTCGTGCAAAGGAAAGGATGCGATGCCTTCGCTCGGTGATCAGAGGCGGATAGACTGCCGTGTTTGACGACGTATGAGACGCCATGGTGGAGCTTGCTCATGTGACGTTGCACGTCGTCCGAAACACCCACGAGCGCTTTCTTGTAAAGATCGCACAGCATACTCACACTGTCTGAAGCAAACCCTCTGCCTCCTCAGTCGAATGCGGTGCTGTGCGAGTTTGGTCTTGCCGTTCTAGTCAGCTCGACTGCAGAGTCCAGACCGACGCCCTCTGCTTTCCTGCCTTCTACAAATTCGACGGGCGCCGTGTAATGCTTCTTCCCATATACTACGTAAAACACCACAGATATCAGTATCACGGCTACCCAGACCAGAGGGGCCCAGTTGGCCGTCGACAGGTCGATGGGAAGGTTCGTCGGAAAGCAGCTGAAGATGATGATGAAGGCCGAGTACATGAATGCGAAAGCATTGATCGGCAGCCCGAATCGTCCAAGGCTCCATCTTGCTGGCGGAAGTGGCTCTCCTTTGATGCGCTTCAGAAGGACACAGCCAATGCTGAGCATATAAGACTTGATGTAACTGATGTATTGGAAGAAGGACTAATCTATGTAGAAGTCCGAAGATGGAGTGTAGCAGTTGCAGCCTCAGGCATCAGGCACGTAATGGACCCTGACACCTGGGTATACACTCCAAGTTACCCCCTCAGCACGTATATATCGCTATAGAATGAAACAAACAACACAATAGCCATTCTGTTAGCAAAGCAAACAAGGGGTGTTAGGTAAGCAGAAAAAACAGGTAAACAAACTAGACTACTCTTAGGTTATATAGACAAAGCAAATAAAGGCCCTTTCTTCTTAGTATTTAGTAGCTAGCTTTGCAGCGCTCTTAATAGCGGCCTTACAATCTACTAGGTTTAGTTGTTTAATAAAGCGGCCGTGCTTAATCTTGTTAAGCGGCTTAGCAAAGCTATCGGCTATCTAATTATATATACTAATCTATTAGACGATAATAGTACTATTAGCAATCTTCTCTCGAATATAGTAGACACAAGTATCTATATGCTTTATACGGCTATTAATAGTAGACTTAGTAATAGCGATAGCGGACTAATTGTCCTCGTAGAGCGTAACTAGAAGAATACAGCTCTTATAACTAATTTCCTTTAAGGAGCGAGCTAAGGTAACTGCTTCCTTAGCCCCTATAGTAAGCTAAACATACTTAGCCTTAGTTAACGATAGTATAACGAGCGTCTAGCGGCCGGACTTGTATAATAGAGGTCCGCCTACGATAGTAAAGTAGAAGCCGCCTATAGAGCGACGAGTAACTAGATTATTAGCCTATAAGGCGTTATAGTAACTAGCGAACTTAAGGTCGTCTTCGTTTAGGTTGCCTTAGAAGCGTATACTACGGCTAAGGGTGCTAACTAGGTACTTAATTAGCTAAAGAAGCGCGGTATAATACTCCTCGGTCGGGTTAGAAATAAATCGTAATAATAGGCCGGTAGTATAGCAAGCATCCGGCCGAGTAATTATTGCTAGCTAGAGGGCTTTGCTAACACCCTCCTAATATTAAGTCTTAAAGGCGGCACTAGCTGTATAGCCTTTAGGTGCGCGTTAAATAGATGTCTTAACGTAACGAGGCGCTATTAGAGTAGCTAGACCGATACGGCTACGTATACTATACTTCTCGCAGAGCCTATTTAAGTAGGCGTTCTAAACGACGTAGATAGTACGCTTATTACGGTCGCGGATAATGCGTATACCGAGATAGTAGTAAAGGTCGCCTAGTTCTCGTATATTAAAGCGCTCCTTTAGCAACTAAGCAATAGCTTCTAGTGCTAATAGGCTGTAGGCGATAATAATTATATTATCGACGTAGATAACAATAATCGAGCCGCTAACAACGTGCTTAAACATATAGACGTCGGACATTATTAGAATAAAGTCTAGGCTCTTTAAGTACTTCCGAAGCTCTTTGTACTATAGCATTAGTAACTGCTTTAGACTATATAGGGCCTTTAGTAGTAGGTAAACCATGCCCTTGCTACTACGGTCTTTAAAGACGTATAGCTGTTTAACGTAGATCTTGTGCTTGTTACTAACAAGTGCGTTAAGGAAGGCAGTTAGAATATCGTACTACTTAGCCTCTAGGTCGTAATAAGCAATTAGGCTAAACAAGGCTCGAAGCGTACAAGGCTTAGCAATAGCCGCATAGGTCTCGTTATAATCCTATCCTTTAACCTATATAAAGCTACGGACGACCTAACGAGCCTTAAACTGGCTTACATTGCTATTAGCGTCTCGCTTAATAGTAAAGACCTATTAGCTACGGACAACCTTCCTGCCTTCTAGCACCTCTAACCGAGATATATGCACCTATATATAGTTGTCGATTAGTAACTTGTATTTAGCCTTATAGGCCTCCTTCTACTATAGCTAATATAGTAACTAAGTCGCCTCCTTATAGCTCTTCGGAATAGGAATAGTCTCCTTAGGCTTGTTAGACTGTTTAGCAATATAATAGGAAGCTATAAAACCCTTAATATAGGCTATCGGTATATTAGCTATTATACGTCGAGTTAACCGCTTAACACTACAATTAGCTAGATAGCTACGCAACAGGTTACGAGCCGACTTGTTACTCTGTATCTTGCGCGTAGAACGATTACTAACAGCTTTAGCTAGTCGCTTAAACTTAGGCAACTAGCCTAGCTCGCCCTTCTTAGTATTTAGATTATATACTAGCTCTTCCTCGGCTAACTAAAAGCTATCTTTATTACTTGAAGCTAGTAGTTGAACGTCTAGAAGGTCGTTATCGATTAGTAACGGATTAGCGACCTTATTAGCTATTTCCTATATAGGTCCTTATGTAGGCTGTTCTTCTTACTAAGCTAGAAGCCGCTAGACTATACTAGTAGCCTCGGCAGGCGACGGAGCCTCGTTGCTTATAGAATTAAACAAAGCCGGTATAATAGACTTAAGGGTAACAAACTCGTTCTTAGACAAGTCGTTAGTGTTAGTGTATAGCTTTATACTATCTAGAAGCAGGAGGTTAAGGTTACCCTCTAACTTAATAAACTAGACGTCCTTAGAAGCAATAACCTTGTATTAATTAGGCAGGTAAATTATGTATTTTCCGGAGTCTATAGAGCCCTTAGCGTAGCCAACTAGCTTGCTAACTAGGCCTCTACTATCTATCTTCTTTCTACGAGTAACACTATAATCGTAGGCAATTAACGTATAGCTATACGCTCGAAGGTGCTAAAGACGCGGCTATATCCGAGACTAATTAAGCTCCCTAGCTATAATAGCATAGGGGCTAAGACCTTCTAAGGTTCTAGATATAATATTAAGGACCTATATAGCGGAGGCAACAGTATATAGCTATAGAGACTTTAGAAGGTTAGCCTATAGTATTATCTTTCTCGTAGTCGTATATACGATGTAATTGCTAACCTTAGTAAGGCTATTCTAAGTTAAAGAATGAGGTATAGTAACTTGCAGTATAATGCCCTCGTCTCGAGCCTAATTTAATAGCTAATTTCCGCCGTATTTACCCCCTCTATCGAGGCGGTAGATTAGGATTGAGTAACTAGTCTATATACGGATATATACACGATAGTCCTTAATAGCTACTGCAGCCCCTAACTTGAGCGTGCTAGCATATTCGTGTCGATAGCCTAACTTAGCGCATATAAACAGTATAAAATAGCGCTCCTGCAATAGACTAGGATTAGTAATAGTAACTACATTAATATAGACAATGTAATAGACCGTAGATAGTCGTACGCGTAGCAGCCGATTGTATTCCTTATATAATATAGCTATACGATAGGCAACGCAGTTGCGGAAGTCCTTCCTAGCACTAGTAATAACAATTTGACCCTTAGACTCTATTCTTAGTAGCTTGCGGTAATAAATATAGCTATATCGTAGATGCTATTTATCTATAGTGCCTGTAGGTACCCCCTTCTTTAACAAAAGGGCAACTACCTTACTATCTAGACTAGAGGTTGGTATATAGAGGTAGGGGAGACTATTCTTATAGTATGTCTAAGCGATAGTAACCTTATTGCCCTCTACTATCGTAAATAGTATACGCTTATTATTACGGTAGAAACAACCCTTATCGGCAAGCTTCTTAGTAGACAGAAGGTTAGCTGCTAGACTAGGCATATATAGTGTATTAGACAACTTTATGTTGCTTATACTACGCTTATTAACAACCTCTATCTAAGCTATACTAACTATCGTAGCGTACTTCGTGTTGCCTCTAAACCGGATAGGGATATAGCAGCCTTTATATTTAATAAGCAATAAAGGGTTATTAACTATATATATACTAGTACCTAAGTCGATAACCTAATCTATAGTACGAGTGCTAGCCGTAAGAGCCGTAGAAACTAGGTCGCTTATAGTAACTATAGCTATAAAGGCGTAATTGTGGCTTAGGTCTAATAACACCCCTAGGGTAGCATTAGCCGCATACAGCCCCTAAGCACTATTCTAGCTACCCTAACTAGACGGCTGCTATTACTGCTAAGCAGTTAGTCTACGCTGCTGCTATTACTACACCCCCTTCTTCTTAGCCTTCTACTATTTACGACGCAGTCGGTCTTCCTCCTTTAGGTAAGAGTACTTAGTATAGTATCGGTTAGAAGGGTGTAATCCCTAACAATAGGCGCACTTCTTACGGTTAGACTAATAACTACTCTAGTTGCTTCTACCGCGGCCTCGACCGTTATTATTGTTTCCGCGGCTACTACGACCGCTACGGTTCGAGTTACCTCGACTATTGCTATTGCTATTGCTACCTTACTATTATAGTTAGCGTTAAAGACTAAAGAAGCCGTTATATTAGGCCTAGTTTAATTAAGCTATATTCTTATTAAGCAACGCGCTAATAATATTGTTAAGTATATTATTGTTAATAGTATATTCGGAGGCGCGTATCTGCTCTCGGCGTATTTGTACGAAAGCCTCGTAGAATAGAGAGATCTATATAATAAACATATAAACAGCCTAGTATTAGCTAATAGCTAATTTAGTATCCTTTAAGGTACTAAGCTTCTTCTTATACTTATTATAGAACTTCTTAATGTCCTTACTATTATACCGAAGGGTAATATATTCCTAGTAGAGCATAAATTTAGTAGACCTACCTTTACTAGTATATTTCTTATATAGGTAAGTCTATACTTCCTACGATATAGCGAGACTAAGTAACGACTACTAAACCTCGGCGATATAGTTAGTAAAGATCTACGTACGCGCTAATTGATCTTTTGCTTCCTATTTATCTTGTCGGTCTTCAAAATCTAACTAAGTTTTAGAAGACAACTTAATATTAGGCTTTAGGCGGGTCCCTTAGATATAGCGCTATACCTATATATCTTTAAGAGTACCCTTAGCGGCATAAGACTATAATAGGTAATTTTCCTTATTCTTTAGCTTAGGAATGTAACTTATATAAGCGTTAGTAGTTGTAGGGGGAGCTATTACGAATAGCGACGGCAATATAGAAAGAGACTATAAACTTGTTTTAAGGGGCGGCCGATAGGCGCGCCTACGTTCTAGTATAGCGGATAGCTAATACTAATATAGCGGACAGCTAACACTAATAGTAACCGACTCGAGTCGGACTAGTACCTACTAGAATACTCGAGAGTAGCGGCGGCGGCGACGATATTAGTATCGGCGTAATTTTTAGTAACGAGCGCTATCTACGTAGTAGTCGGATTAACTATTAGAAAAACGTATAGAATACGTTAGAAACGCAGGGGGCTTATAACTACTTGATGTAACTGATATATTAGAAGAAGGACTAATCTATATAGAAGTCCGAAGATGGAGTGCAGCAGTTGCAGCCTTAGGCATCAGGCACGTGATGGACCCTGACACCTAGGCATACACTCCAAGTATAAGTCGACAAAAGCCCAAGTAGCGACAAAGAGACAATAATGTTGAAAGCCAGAGTCGAGCCGATGTTGATGAGCGACAGAAGCACAACCGCGACTGAGGTGATATAGACGGCATTGAATGGGACATTCCACTTCTTATCCATCTTGCCGGCTTGTTTAGACCAAGGTAGTCCTTTGAAGTCGTGTCAGTCAAGTCCCAAGCTTATTGGCGAAAGACCTACCTTTGTCTCTAGCAAATGCAAAGACCTCACGGGCGCAGGTGGCTAGGGCTGTGATATTGCCAGCATAGATAAGCAAGAAGAGGATGACGTTCAGTGCAATCGACAACCCAGGACTTCCGGTATTGTTGAAGAGCAGTAAGTATGGAATGTCTGCTTCAAGCACCGAGTCTAGTGGTCCAATACAGAACAGCATGGTGATCAACATGACGATTCCCATTGCGACATTTCCCAAGTACGACCACCACATGACTCGTGGAACGATGAATGAAGCATCCTCCACTTCCTCGGATATGTGCACCACTGAGTCGGAGCCCAGATTGCAGTACATCACGTAGACTTGGCTGATCAAGTATGCTGTGCCGATGTTTCCCCATCCACTGTTATCCTCAAAGTGGAGCAAGACATCGTCGGCGCTATTCTTGGGGCACAGTACCCATAGTGGAATCAGGACAACGAGGAATCCAGCGAGATGTCCTACCAGGCAAGCAACCTCCAGTCCAGGCAGAACAGGCGCCCCCCACGTGTTGAAGAAGATCGTCAACACAGTGAATGCAATCATAATGAGTGTAGCCTGCCACCTCGCAAAGGCATATTCCGGATTGGTCACTTGTATCATCGCCTCGATCTGGGTGGTTACCACATAGGTACTGCTTGCCACGCTTGCTAGCCAACCTAGAGTACTCATCCAGCCAGAGGCATATGACATGACTGAATGGAGAAAGTCAGCACGTAGTTCAAGTTCCACAACACAAGCGATGCATTAGGCTTACTCTTTTGGTACTGAGGCGGCGCAAACTCGCTCCTTTAAATACACGTCAGCGCTTCCTCTCCTCGTCTGCCAAGGTTAGAAAACATACACCCAGTGATATTGTCTGCAACTCTGTCAGCGACGGATCTATGACCGGCTTCAGATGAATTCAGCAGACTCACCCACCCGCCGTAGGGGCCATTGACTCCATCTCCGCGAGACTGGCGACGATCGTGGCATAGCAAGTCACCGTCGTAATGAAGCACCAAAAAAGGCCAGCAAACCCCCCATTGGAAAACCCTACCGATAAACTGACCAGCACAAACTCCCATGTGGCCATATAGACCGACACGAAACCCAGCGCGCTCAAGAAGGAGAAGTTCCGCTTGAATTCCTGCTTCTTGCCAAGACGAAGCATATCACGCCGGTCGTTGTCTGTCTCGCCCCAGACCCCTTCAAGCTGCATGCTGTGAACGCCATCGTGAGAGTCCTCGTCTGATCGGGGCGACACTTTGGTAGATTCCTTCAGCTCGACATCTTCGCGGTATGCATGTTCTACTGAACGGCGCCGGAGTGAGGAGCTCTCGCCGGCCATGTTGCCCCAAGGAGATCAGATTTTGTGCATGGAATGTGGCAAGAGAGAGTCACAGTGTGTGGATGAGGTGTTGCATGAGTAAGCGAGATCTGGAGGAACATCTGGGTCTGATAAGAGTTCCACCCGGCGACGGGAGGATCTGGCTTCCATTGTATTTGGTGCACGTATCATACTGTCTAATAATGTTCGGCAGAGACGGAGGCATGGAGGAGATTTCATGAACGGATCACTTCACTTCGTCTTCTGGCATGGATGGTCTTGTCCAGAGAGCTGTGAGAACGGCGATGTTGATGGAGGAGTGAAAGTACAGGCCTCAGTCCCAGAGATCTGCCAGCCACGTTTTCTTGGCACTCCTATCAATATCCAATGCCGAGGCCAGATCTATGACCTCAGTCCTTCCAATATCAACAACGATATGACACGATAGAAACATAGACATACATGGCAGATGTCGAAGACTGCCCTCCAGACCGCCTACGCCCATCTAATCCAGCGCGGTCGACTTCTCCCCGACATCCACCAAGCAGCTCTCATAACACGACTAGACGCTCTCCAAGATGAATTGCTCCGCAGTCACAATGCAACTCTGAGTCTCATCCCCGGCCAACCTACCCATGCCCCTCGAGGTCTGTATATCTATGGCTCAGTGGGAACCGGGAAATCTCGCATCATGGACTTATTCGCGACAACACTCCCTTCCAAAATTTCCCACCGCAGGATCCATTTCCATGAATTCATGATGGATATCCATTCTCGACTGCACCGCGCACGTTTCTCCTCGTCGTCATCCTCAGGAAGAGACCCGTTGATGGGAATCGGAAGGACGATTCGCGAAGAATCCGAGGTTTTGTGTTTCGATGAGTTTCAGGTTACTGATATTGCCGATGCGATGATTTTGGCCCGGCTGTTTGCGGGTATCTGGCTGCAGGGCGGCGTCATGGTCGCTACAAGCAATCGGCATCCCGACGCGCTGTATGAGAATGGTTTGAATCGGGATGTGGTTTTGCCGTTCCTTCGGGAGGTGCAGAAGCGATGCGAGGTTTGGCGCGTTGGTGGGACGCAGGATTATAGGATGCGTGGTTTGCCATCGGCGTATGAGAGGGATGAGAACTTCTTGACGGAGTCGAAGAGGTTTTATCAGAAGTTGGAGGAGGCCCTGCAAGGGCGGCATCTGGGGCAGGTCTCGATTCCGGTGCAGGGTGCTCGAGTTTTGGATGTTTCTGCGGTCACTTCCGACGGGAAGCGCAGCGTAGTGAGTGGCACTTTTGAAGAATTGTGCCAAAGCTTTCTCGGATCGGCGGACTATTCTGCTTTGTGCTCGTCGACCAGCACCATCTTCATTTCTGGCCTCCGCGCATTCGGCCCGAGCGACAAGGACTTTGTTCGACGTTTCATCACTCTCATTGATCTGGCATACGAGGCAAAGACTCGCGTCGTATGCCTGTCAGACGTACCTCTTGCAGAAGTCTTCATCAGCATCGCTCGATCCGAGCAGAAGAAATCTGGCACGAGCATGCATGTCAAAGGCGAAGGTGGCGCATCGAGTAGCATGATGAGCACGTTTGTTGGAGAGACGGAGTGGTCTGCTACGGGACTCATGGAGGCGTCTCTGGCTACTGGTGGAGCTGGTGAAACAGACGTCGGCTTCGCAATCGGCAGGGCTATATCTAGATTATATGAGATGGGGTCGAAGGCGTACGGTGCCCACTATTCATATTAATAGATTGGAAAGAGCGCACACACGTACTGCATCTACTTGCGATAAAAGCATAGGGTCTGACGTAGGAGATAGAAGAGAAGTACCGATTCACGGCGTCAATCAAGAGCAACCTTCTCATGCTGGACACTACCGATTCGCAGCGATTCGCAGGGGCTTCACACAGCATCAAGCAAGCGGACAGACTCAGGAAGAGGATCACTCTGTAAGCAGTCCTGAACAATGTGCATGGCCAGTTGCCGGCAGCCAACCCTTTTGCAGACAGAACCTCCTACTGACTCTGGCACGAGCGTATGGGCCATCCCGCAGAGGGGTCGTTAGAACAGCTTAGAAAGTAGCGAACGACAAGCACGCCATGGAATAGACCCTGACGGATCACACCTCTGCAGAGACTACGTGAAACGGTGAAAGGGCGCATGCAGGAACGCGGTCACGACGGAGCAATCAGGCCAGCATCCTACCCAACAGAGTCGATCCATGTCGACATCGCAGAACTATCGACGGGGATGTGACAGCAAGTACGCTGTCACGATGCTAGACGACTTTAGCGAGCGGGCGGAACTTGTACCTGCAAAGCAAAAGTCCGCATCCTTCGAGCACGTTCAATACTTTGTCGAATACAATGAGACGCCTATACACCGCTGTAAGCGCATACGCCTAGATCGTGCAGGCGAGGATCAATCCGCTTCTCTGAAATCGTGCGCGCAGAGTAAGGGGATCAAGCTCGATCAAGTATACGGACACCAACCAGCACCAAGCCAACAGACTTGCAGGGAGGCTTAACCGTACGAGGAGAAACAAGCTGCAGTCGACAATGCAGTCGGTCGGCATCCCTAACAAATACTGGCCGCCAGTATGGACCCATCACTCTGTCTACGTCCGTAATCGGTCTCCAACAAGATCACACCGTTTGAGCTGTTCACGAAGCGGCGTCCAAACCTTTCTAGAACTAACATTCGGACTCTTGGCAGCAAGGTCTTTGTTCTCAAAGGCGAAAAGCAACGTCCCAAATGGCTAGGATCAAGGGAAATAGAAGGCTCCCCCCCTTGGATTCAGGGGAAACCACCAGGACCTCGTACTGTTCCCGACCAATCGTTGCTTGGTGTTCTAAACGTCATTTTACTGTAGAGGAGCAACTCCACGCTACCGAATGTGACGATATCCTTGTCATTCAATGAGCTCTTGAAGAGACAGTAGAGCCAGGGGAGGAGAGCTTAGAGACTCCAGATACCTCTTCACTCACGTAGATGGCACAAGCTGCATCGCAACTGATATCTGCGCACGATCCGACCGATCACCCAACGCCGTCCTTAGACCAGACCAAGGGGACGTGCCTAGACTACCCGGTGGGTTCTAGTAACTCTACCCTTCACCAGATACGATAAGCGAGGTGAAACACTCACTTGACAGGCGTTTCGACATGTCGGACCCAGGGCCGAAATCCTTGCATCCGACATCTTATTACAGGCAGGAAAGACCACACATCTTCTAGCACGCTAGAGAACCCCTAGCAGTCTCCAACTAGAACCTAGCTTCTAGTAGAATCCAAGTTTCTAGAAGGAGAAAGACCCCTAGCAGGTTACTCTCGGTACTTATTAGAGACTAGAGCTTCCTCTATATAGTATATCTTTACGTATATCTAGGTACGAGTAGATTAGCTAGGAAAGTAAATTATATATACCTCGAGGGTTCTATACGACCCTATATAGTGCCCTAAAACTACGTAGGTTAGTATACAAATCGGGATATTATAAATTATCTCTATAAAAGCTAATTACCTCGGATTTCTACTATTCCGAATAGCTATAATCGCTCGAAGACAACTAAGTCTACGACTATGCCTTAGTAGTACTATTACTACTACTTAGAAGTAATAACTCCTCTTTAGATCCGTTATTTTAGTAGTCTAACTAGTATAAGAGATAGCTTACGAAAGGATTAATTAATATAAGATAGTAAATATAGTATATCTATATATAATCCCCTATAGGCGCATTTTAATAATTTTACTAGCTTAGTAATTAAAGGCTTCTAGCGACGACGAGGCTTATAAGAGCTACCTAATAGCTATAGTAGATTAAGTAAAGTATCTTTACTAGTATATAATAGAATAGGTAATAAATATAGAGCTATAGATAGTACTATAGATAGTAGTAGCTCTACTATAGATAGTAGAAATAGACTAGTAAAGAAGGCTAAATACTATTCTAGATCTATATCTTCTACCTAAGTATCTTAAAACTAGCTAGGTTAAGCCTTATAGATTAAGGTAGGTAGTAGTACTATACTATTAGTATAGATATAGCTAATAACTATTATCTACTCGCGGTTACTATCTTATATATACCCCTTTAACTAGCTACTTATTATTGCCTACTTTATAAAGATTCTTCTAGCTTTGCTAAGTACCCCTACTATAAAGCCCTTCTTATCTATATTATATATATTCTTAGGCTCTATACTATACTTCTTTATCTTAGTACTTAGCTTATTAAAGTACTTAGTATATGAGAGCTATAAATTAGCCTTCTTCCGTACCTTATCTAGGTTACTAAGATACTTAGAAGATAGGATATCTAAATGCCTCTTAGTAAACTTAGTAGGCTAGTTCTTATTAGGCTCCTTACTATGTGCCTACTTAGTAAAATTACGTACTATCTAAGCCGTTAGTAGTAGGCCTAGATTAGTTAACTTATTAATATATCTACCTAACTCTGCCTCTTCTAGATTATTTAGTAACCGCTTATCTTCGTACTAGGCCTATTTACTACCCTAGATACCTCTCTAACGCTTAGAAAGCGTTAAAAGCTTAACTCTGTAGCTCCTAGTGGTCGCATTAATATTAGGCCTCTCCTAGCTATTTAGATTATTAATCGCCTTCTTAATCGGGTCTATAGTTGCAGATTTATTTACTTGCAAAGAGAGGCAGCGGAAGTGCTAAATACCGTACGCTAAGGCTAACCGTACGCCAACCCTAGAAGACTTCTAGAAGCTGCCTTGCTAACAGCGTAAGGTGCTGCCGCGGCTGTTGCTAGGCATATACCGACGTTACGCTTGCAGATGCGGCATATACGCCTACCTACGGGTATATTTGTCTATCCCGCGGAGTATCTTAGTAAGCTAGGGTCTACGTAGAAGAGGTAGCTAAACAATGTACTAGAGATTAGTAGGCAAGCAATCTGTGAATTACTAAGCGGCCGCTCGTAGACTATAATGCCTAGTTGTATTGCATTGCGTTGTATTGTTTATCTTAAAGCGAGAGTTATAATTACCGGAGTTGAGTAGTATTATTAGTTAGTCGGCCTATCGAATGCTTATAACGACTATTAATCTGTATATTGCTTAATCGGTAAGTTTAGGAATCCTGTGTTCCGTTGCTTCTAGAACTTGAAAGAGGGTATATAGGACGATTAAGCGAGATAGCAGACGGGGGTAATCCCCGTAAGCGGCAGCTAGCTAGAAAACGTTAGACGTAAACTTTTTAAAGGTGCGGATAATCCCTTTAAGCAGTCAAGCTCCCAAGAGAGACGGTACTACGCATCCA